AATAATAAAACAAGCAGTCCGTTTCCGTTTCAACCTGTTGCATTCAACAAAGACAACCTTGTCTCATGGAGTTAGCACAGAAAAACAAAAACAACTGTTACCTTATCTTTGAACGACCTCTTCTCCAGGTATCCCTCATAGTAACAGGTGGGCAGCTGGCTCCTCTCTCGCGCGGTTCGCCTCGCCATCATTTTAATGTCTATACAAATAACTTATTTACAGTTTTGAAGTGAAGGAGACTTCCACTTTAACATATCAGCAGCTTCTGCCTGCTCGTAGGAAAGCTCTCTTGTATATTGAAGTCATACCTGCGCGTCAGGAAGACAGGTGGTAGTGTCCTCACCGCTGATTGGTCAATATATGGAGCGGGCGGGGCATCCACGGGCTGCTTCTAAAAGTAGACCTATTTCTCAAATGTGGAAATAACCTGCCTGCGGGCTTTACATAAACCAGCACATGTGTGTATCCTCCTCCCTATTGTATTCACATATTTGAATAGTATCCTTCCCATAAAATAAAATGACTAACTTAGCTAGCTGAGTCAGACTAAATTCGAGTTAATTTACTCACAGTAGACATATTGCGCAAGTGTGTTTTCCCACAAAATATTCATAGGCAACATGTCTGATTCTGGCCTGGTCTCTGTTAAACCAGAGATGTTCAATTTGTTGCATATTATAAATAAGCAATATATTTTATTTAACTTAGAGTTGTTAACAATCAACTAAGATTGAAGTAAATTGTATCTTATCTAATAAAATGTAAGGTAACAGCAGAGTCATTCGAGGTTGTTATTGCAGTGTTGTTTGTTTGTATGCGAGCAATGCAGTTCATCTAGCGTGATACGTTAAGTACAGGAAGTAATATTCGGAGCTTCATGTACTTTACTTAGTATTTTCCTTTTCTGCCAGTCATCTCAGTGAGGTATATTGCACTATTTTCTGTAATACATGTATCTCACAGCTTTAGTTAGTTTAGTTAATCTGGTTCAGATTAAAATATAAATCAACTAATTATTTATAATGAGGTATAATTATAGTTTAATTTAAACTATCCATCAATTTCTAGTGTAATTAAAAGCTCCACCTTTACAAGCTACAACATTAAAGTAATTGTACTGCATTAGTTATTATAATCAAATATAATCTAATGTTATTCTAAAATGGGCCATTCTGTATTATGAGTACTTTTACTTTATCTAGAATATAGTTTTATGTTTATGCCATACTTACTTAATTTGAATATAGCCAAAAAGGCCTCTTTCTTGTTGCAAAGTATGTCAACAACAGTGTGGTAATAGTACTTTAACATAAGGCAAGGCAAGGCAAGTTTATTTATATAGCACATTTCAACACAAGGCAATTCAAAGTGCTTTACAAAAATGAAAGACATTAAGAGCATTAAGAAACATATTATAAAATGATATCTAAAAACACTAATTTAAAAGCAATGATATAAAATGACATTTAAAAACACTCAAAGATACATGAATAAAAGTTAAAGTGCAGTGTGAGATACACACATCTGAAATGTTTAGGTCTGACTCTCAATCATTGCTAACTTTTTAGCAGAAATCGTTTTCTATCCCCTCCCTTTCTTTCTACTTTCTTGTTTAACTTGTCCTTTAGTTATTTCAAGTGTTTCATGCTAAACGAACCCCCCTTTGGAAAATTATAATCTGACCCCATGGTACCTTTTAGGTTTCGCCGAAACTATTCCTCTTTTTTTTAAATGCACATAGTTAAGTTTACCTTGTCTTTCTAGGACTTTTTTGGTGTCCTCCGCGAACCAGGGTCTTGAAACCAAAACGGCACATGTAGGGGACTTTAAATAACCACCTACGAGGGGACTTTAACCCCAATAATGACTTTAACTACAAGGCAATTCAAAGTGCTTTACAAAAATGAAAGACATTAAGAAAATGGCATTAAAAAGCAAAGATAATAAAAGTTACAGTGCAGTTTAAGATATGAATATATCAATTAAAAGCAGCGGCAAAAAGAAAAGTCTTCAGCCTGGAAGTAGTAAGAGTTGCAGCGGACCGGCAGGTTTCTGGTAGTTTGTTCCAGATATTTGGAGCTTAATAACTGAACGCTGCTTTTCCATGTTTAGTTCTGACTCTGGGGACAGAAAGCTGACCAGTCCCTGAAGACCTGAGAGATCTGGATGGTTCATAATTTAGCAGTAGGTCAGAAATGTATTTTGGGCCTAAACCATTCAAAGCTTTATAAACCAGCAGCAGTATTTTGAAATCAATTATTTGACACACAGGAAGTCAGTGTAAAGACTTCAGAACAGGAGTGATGTGATCCACTTTCTTAGTGTTAGCGAGGACTCGAGCAGCGGCGTTCTGAATTAGCTGCAGCTTTCTAATAGACTTTTTAGTGAGACCTGTAAAGACACCATTACAGTAGTCGAGTCTACTGAAGATAAAAGCATGGACAAGTTTTTCCAAATCCTGCTGTGACATTAGTCTTTTTATCCTAGATATATTCTTTAGGTGATAGTAGGCTGATTTAGTCATTGTTTTAATGTGACTGTTGAAACTCAGGTCAGGGTCCATGACTGATTTCTGGCTTTATCTGTTGTTTTAAACATTGCAGACTGAAGCTCAGCGCTAACTTTTATACGTTCTGCCTTGGCTCCAAAAATCATTACCTCAGTTTTATCTTTGTTTAATTGGATAAAGTTCTGACACATCCAGTCATTGATTTGTTCAATGCACTTACTCAGTGTTTGAATTGGAGCATATCTCCTGGTGAAATGGTTACATAAATTTGGGTATCATCCACATAGCTATGGTAACTTATTTTGTTGTTTTTCATTATCTGAGCCAGTGGTAGCATGTAGATGTTAAAGAGAAGAGGCCCCAAGATGGAGCCTTGAGGAACCCCACATGTCATATTTGTCAACTCAGATGTGTATTTACCTATAGAAACAACGTTGTTTCTGTCCTTTAAGTAGGATTCAAACCAATTTAGAACTGTTGCCGAAAGTCCCACCCAGTTTTCTAGTCGGTCTAGTAATATGTTGTGGTCAACAGTGTCAAACGCAGCGCTGAGATCTAATAATACTAACACTGAAGTTCTGCCACTGTCTGTGTTTAACTGGATGTCATTGAAGACCTTTACAAGAGCAGTCTCAGCGCTGTGGTTTGGTCGAAAGCCTGACTGGAACACATCGAAACAGTTATTTAAATGCAAGAAATTACTCAACTGTTGAAAAACTACCTTTTCAATGATTTTTGAACATAAGTAAAAGTAAATTCTCATAAGTAAAAGTAAATTCTCATAAGTAAAAGTAAATTCTCCATGCATAGTACGTACCTAAGAAACTATATCCTATTTGACCAGATTCAGTTCACTATTTGAACAAAATATAATCAACAAATAAGTTATGATTTGGTCTAGGACTTTATTAGTTTCCAGGGTGAGGGACTAAAGTCCTAGCATTACATACAGATTTGATGCACATATTTCAAAAATAACGTATAGGCCTACATGAATCCATCAATAATAATGACGGTAATAATTCAACAATATAATATATATCCATCTAAAATGGGCTTCATAATGAGTACTTTTGTTACTATTTTTAATGATTACATCTTTAAACTTTTACTTAGGGTTAGGGTTAAGTACATTTGAGAATACAGGACATGTACTTGTACCTGTTAAATTACTATATTTCTGTCAAAAGGAAGAGATGGGGGCTCCCTCTGCTGGAGGAGCTTGTTATTGTTTGATCAACACAGATCAGATAAACTCAGTAATAGTTTACACATAACTAAAATCCATGCTGTGCAACAGTCCTGTAATAAATCCTACTTTCATGAAGGCTTGTTATTTCAAGTATTTGTTAAAATAGTTTCAGGGAGGGGCTGATTTGACTGTTCACATTTGACACTATATTTTGATGCTTTTTATTTATTTAAATATTTCATTAGGCCATACCAATGGGAATACACTTGTAAGGTTTACATTCTCATTGCATGTTCATTTATCTTCTACCTTTTTTAACACTTATCTTTTGTCTCACAAAGGCTTGCTGACTAGTACAGTACATCTAGCCGAGTTTAATTTATGCATCATATTACTTTCAATAGAATATGGAGAACCAGGGGTATTTTTTTTTGTTTTTTGTATGGAGCCATCAGCACTAAATATGTGAGAAAAGACGATGAGTAGCAAATTGAAGGTGTAACATGAAACACTTAATATTTGATTATATGTTAGTTAAAACGCTGATAAAATCATGTGGAAGCTAATATCTCTATATCTCTGGAGCTTTGTATTGTTAACTTAACTTTTTTCAGACAGAAATAACAACTTATTGAAAGGACAACCTTTTATATAATTGATACTTAGAGGTGGAAGAAGAACTCAGATCTTGTACTTGAGTAAAAATAGAAGTACCAGAGTGTAATACTTTGTTACAAGTAAAAGTCCTGCAATCAAAATATTACTCAAGTAGAAATACAAAAGTATTAGCATCAAGTACAATGAGTAAGAGTTCTAATTATGCAGATTGGCCCATTTCAGAATAATAAATATTATATTTTATATATGCTTGATTATAAATATTGATGCATTCACGTGTTATCACAGCTGGTAAAGGTGCAGCTAATTGTAATGACTTTGTATGCTGCAGGGTAGATTTTGAATTTACTCCAGATGTGACTAAAGTCTTTAGATGTTGATTATATTTCACATCATTAAACAAAATCTTTAAAAGTAACTCAAGTAAAAAATAAATGCAGTGCAGGGGTAGTAGTACAAACTAGTAGCAAAAAATGAAAATACTCAAGTAAAGTACAAGTCCTGTATTGAGTAAATCTACCTACTTTACATCACTGTGTTTAATACTAATACACTTGCAATCTTGGGCAAGGATGAACAAGCAGAAAGACATAAACCTAAAGCATGTATTTTATGACTCTTGAACTTATTACACTACCTGAAACCACATACCTGTAAGTCACGTGACCGTGTAGCGTTAACGCGGCTCCCTTACGCAGCATTTTCTTCTGTCATCTTGGCTCTGCAGCCTGGTTACTGTGGTCAGGGAACATTTCTTCTGTCATCACCGTGATCCAATCAAACAATGGGGAACAGAGACGACGAGTATGATTTCTTATTCAAAGGTAAGCGGAACAGAAACCGCTTATTGATCACCTGGTTTGATATTATTTAGCGAGAAAACGAGCCCAGCTGAGGTTAGCATGTGTGCTAGCTATGCTAACGTCAGTGGTCAGTTATAATATCAGCTGATGGTGGGGCAGCTAACTGAAGCTAGCCAAACTGTTTTCCGTTTCCCACTCGTCATGTCTTATTAACCTCTTACTTAATCATTTACTGTAACTAAGATGTGTTACCGCTTTTATTTGGGCCAATGATTGCTGACAGTAATGTCATTTGCTAAATGGATTTCACAGAAAATAGTGCGTATGGTGAATTAGCCCTGTAAGCTAGAAGCTAACAGTACTTCAAACGGGTGGAGCTAATACTTAGCGATATTTACATTCTACTTTATTGTCATATAGTGGTCCTCACATATATAACCACACTTGTAAAGCACAAATAGAGGCGTATTTTATTTAGACGGTGTAATGTAATCCGATAGGTTTAATGGAAGAGGAAACAAGAGTTCCCTTTGTGGTGGAAACCTGTCCCCTGAGGGAGGAAACTCACTCCGTATGAGAGCAAAGAAGAGGAAACTCTTATGGGCTTTGTCGTTTTGTTAACTGCTTCAGGTGTGTAGGTAATTTCCCAGCCACCTGTTTTACATCAGGATGTATTCTCATACCAAGCAGACATAGATCTTACCTGAGTGAGTCAGTTTGCTGATAACATGATGCTGACCTTGCTGGTATTTATTCTAATTAGTTGTAAACACTTGTGTTATGCATACATAAAACTACTGACCTTGACAAGAAGTGCTTAAGTATGGATGGGCAATAGCATATGCATTATTACTTTTTCTATATTTTTACCACTATTTTTATCAATATTATTGCATTTTTATTAGTTTTAGTTGTTACTTATTATACTAAATGTATTTTACAGTTTTAGGTATTTCTTTAGTTTTAATTGTTGTCTATATATGTCAGAACTATTTCCCCTTACAGTCAACAATAAGTATAAAAAAACATGAAAAAAAGACAGCACAGACACGGCCACACAAATAGGGCATGGCACACAGTCCTCTTAATAAATCTACTTTATGTCCCGCACCTTAGCTTCATACGTCCATTCTCAGTCTGCACAGATGGTACCTTTTTTATCCAAGTTAAATATTGGATATTGTAAGTACATATACCTACATATAATGAGGACAAACTTAAGAGTAGTAGTATATAATATACATGGATAGCCTGTCTTGAATGGCCCTGTACATTAAAACACTGCTGGATCTGGTGCAAAGCAAGTAAAGCCCATCCTACCAGATTGTGATAGAGTGGGTCAAAGAAGGACAAAAAGTGGAGCAGGCTAATCTGTAAATGGTATCACCAAAGTCTAACTGATGCAGGAATAGGCGTGTAACCAGACATTTTCTTTTAGATATTATTAAAGTACAGGAGAACAAAAGGCCAGGCCAGTGTGGCAGCTGGAAACGGATTTGATTTACTGATGACTCTTCATAAATACACAGGAACAGAGACCTTGAGGAAGTGTCGAGTCAGATTTCCCAAAGAGCTGTTTTTTTTGTGAGCCTCTTCCTGCGTGATTCCGAGCAGGGCAACGTCTGATAAGGTTTTCTCAGAACAAAAAGGAAACACTAACACGTCAGCACTTTTGCTTCGCCTGAAAACTATGGCAAGGATAGGAATGCCATTAAAATGAATATATCTATAAAAGAAAACCTATTGCTCTTGCTCTTCCCTGAAGGGCTGTCAATTGTTATTTTTCGTATTCTAGTTTTATTCTTGTTTAATGGCATTGCATTGCCTCCATATAAATGGCCCTGGCCGATAATGAACTGACTATAGTGAAACTTTCAATTAAAGTTACATATAGCAGTTGTTTGAAATGTTGCATTCTGAAAAACATCCATTTGGCTAAATGTGGCACATTTATGTCAGTTAATGTTCATTGTCTTTTATACATTTAGTTTAAAATAATAACCTTAGGGTCAGACTTGGGTTGAATAAAATGTCACGCCTTATCAAACAAACACCTGCTGGAATGCTTTTCAGTCTGAGAGACATTTTCCTTGTAGCATTACCAACCTAATGATTGATTTGTTTCTAGTCGTTCTAATCGGAGACTCTGGAGTGGGGAAGAGTAACCTGCTGTCCCGTTTCACAAGAAATGAGTTCAACCTGGAGAGCAAGAGCACCATTGGGGTGGAGTTTGCCACCCGCAGCATCCAGGTGGATGGCAAGACGATAAAGGCTCAGATCTGGGACACAGCTGGACAGGAACGCTACAGAGCTATCACATCAGCGTGAGTACTTTACTTTATTTAACTGCATTATATACCAGTTTTAAACGGTAATAAGCTGTTTGAGCCTATTAGGATGTTCAGTTTGATGCCCAAGAATTTCATGCACACATGTAGGTAACCTATTTTAAATCCAGCCATTTATTGTTAATGTAAAGGCATTATCATGTAGTTTATATATAGCATTTAACATATTGAAGATGTATTTGATCATCTACAAATACATTTTTAAATAAATAACTTTCATGAAGCACTTCATCACATTTTGACTGTTGATTAACAGACGATTTATACTCAGCAGATGTTAGGTAACATTGTGGTTATTCTTTATTCATCAATATATTTCTCTTTGCTCTGCCGTCACCAGATACTACCGGGGTGCAGTCGGAGCTCTCCTGGTTTACGACATCGCCAAGCACCTGACGTACGAGAACATTGAGCGCTGGCTGAAGGAGCTGAGGGACCACGCTGACAACAACATCGTCATCATGCAGGTTGGAAACAAGAGCGACCTCCGCCACCTCAGGGCCGTGCCCACTGATGAAGCTCTAGCCTTTGCAGGTAAACCACCAAGCGCTGTGGTAAATATATAATCTGTAAAATAGTTTCTGTAAAATGTTTAAAATGCATCTGTATTCTCTTCCCACTTTAGAAAAGAACAGTATCTCTTTCATTGAGACATCAGCGTTGGACTCCACTAATGTAGAAGAAGCCTTCAAGAACATTTTAACAGGTAGGAAAAACAAGACTCAGTGCTGTATCCCATGTGATTCACTATTACAAACTGTATTATGAGCTCTTTTGACATATTATTATACTATGACATCTATCAACTGTATTTTAACATGTTTTTATTACTTTTACTATAACAAACTATTCTGTAACAGTTTATAGGGCATACACTAAGACAGATACTTTACCTGTTTTTAATGACTCACACTACTTTTTTAACAACACATGATACAATTACCTAAATCTTTTATGATTTTCTTGACTTGCTTATGACATTTTTTACAACATTTGTTATGGCATCTATTATGACTTATTTTAAAACAATTTTTACATATTTTATTTTATTATTTTATTTTACAAGAGAAACTTTACTATTTTTGACATTTAAATGACGTATACCTATATGGCTTTTTTTGAAGACAAACTGTATGTCGGTAATGAAATTAATATTAGATTTTTTTTATGGCATTTACTGTATAGCTTATACAATTCAAGCCTTTTTACTGACATACTACAGGATGACTTTGAATTATTTTTGCGACATATTATAATACAGCTGCTTCTGCTTACCATTTCACATTTTCCCGTTTTGATATGTAGCTACATGGTTTTATATAGGGAGACTCCAGTGCAGCAGCTACATAAACGAAACATTCAACCATTCGTTCAAATCACTGTTTGTAATTTGCCCTCTGCAGAAATCTACCGCATCGTGTCACAGAAGCAGATAGCGGACAGATCTGCACACGACGAGTCACCGGGCAACAACGTCGTGGACATCAGCGTCCCCCCCACCACTGACGGGCAGAAGGGCAACAAACTGCAGTGCTGCCAGAGCCTGTGACACTAAAGCCCTGAAACTCTTCCTCCACATCACCTGTGCACTTTTTGTTCGCTCTGCTTACGGCCAACGCCCTCTTTACTCTGTCCGCTTCTTTCTACCTGTCATTCTGTTTTATATTCTACTTTTGAACTCACCTGTGCTCTTCTCTTTTGCCATGAATGAAAACTTCCAGAAGCCTTTATGTCCATGTGAAGGAGGCAGTCCTCTCTGCCCTGGTGAAGCCTGTGAAGTTGTTTGAACTGAACCTCTGACGGCATGGTTGTGAAATACATTTCAATGGTTACCACTAGATGGTGCTGTGTAAATAATCTACAGGCAGTTACTCCACCCTGGTGAGAGCAGTATTATGCAGCATGGCTCCTCTAACATCTGATAAGTTATCATGCCAAAAATATCCTCATTATGTATTTATTGAAGAATATTTGGCTTAAGTTGTCATTGTTTTACTTTACATTTAAGAACTGTATACATTTACAATAAAATACTTGATAAAAGTGAACCGTTGAGTGTCTTTGTTCTTAAGTTGTTTTTTTATAAGTTAGAATTTAAATGCTTTTACTCTTAGTCTGTACCCGATTATAGTTTTGAGGTGCATGCATTTTTAAGTTTACATTTTTACTTCACAATATTTCAGAGGGCATTGGTACTGTACACTCCATACATTTATGACAGCTTTAGTTTCTAGTTTTCAGAAAATATGTAAAAAATGTATAACATTAAGGTAAACAATTTTAACATAAATATTGAAAGAAAATGTAGCTGGCAATTCTTTGTTAACGCAGCTTTAAAGCAATAACCTTTTTCCTAATGACGTCATTATATCATGCTATCCTGCTACTTTTAATTAAGTAAATTATCAAAGTACTACTTTTACTTTATAAAGTAACTAGTAAGAGATCCAGAACGTTTCAGGAAAAAAGATTCTCTCTCTTTTGTAATATATAAAAACCTGTCTGAAAATGAGCTGATCAGATTTTGTGATGTCACAATGGTTTTTTGGGTTGTGCAACCATTAGCCAATAACCAACCAAGGCAACACCCCCCCCTGATCTGTTTGGTATTTTGAGCCAAACACTTCAGAGACATGTTTTGTATATATCTGAGACCTATAATAATAGGGGACCTTTAAATCGATTGCAAATCATTACATTCTGAATATCAGGGATCCCATGATCTAACGTATTATTTGAATCACCATTCACACCCACATTCAAACATTTATAGTGTTTTTCCTTCCTGGAGAGCGGAGACTGTTCAGCAGCATATGGAACATTTTGAACGAGTGTTTTTCTAACTAAGCTGCTTATATTTTCATCAGCGGTGTGGATGTGATGAGGAGATACTGCGAGTCTCCACAGGAAAAACACTTGACATCACAGCAGTTGTTTTTCCTCAGGATTAATGGGCACATACAGCGGTGGTCAAAAACAGAATTATAGTAATGACATCTCATCCTCTCTGGACTAAGAGGATGATCTGTCAACAGCCATATCATTGTTCTGTACTGTAATGTTGACGCCCGACAACATACATGTGTTTCCATTCACAGAAATCAGACCATGATCATCATTTAAAAAGCTTCCTACACGAGAAAATAAATCACCAGTTCACCCGTCATTTATCATCATGTTTTATTTGCTTTGCAAACAATTCTTGGCTGATTGCAGGTACCAGTATTTTGGTGAAGACATCTTACTTTTTTCCACAGCACACTATAAACATTGTATGATTTAAAAATGTGAATACTGAAGAATTGCAACATTAATTACAAATGATACATAACCACCGTCCAGAAAATACATGTAGAAAGACAAACATGTTAGACACGATAACACAACAGAAGTAACATTTACATGTTCCTTTTTGTAATAAACATCAAAAGAAAACACTTATTTAAAATCCCTTTTTGGATTGTTATTATGGTTTAAGTGTTAAATACAAAAAATCTTTGGAGATTTGAGGATCTGCAGGGTGTCAGAGAAGTGTTGCATACTTTGTAGGCAAACTTGCACAAAAACATCCCATAACTATCATAGCGCTCAGATGCATTGACCCGCAGATTCAGCTGTTTGTTGAATAACTGCACCTCAGATCTTTAAATTGCTTCACATCAGATCTTAACACTTGGAGTAATTCCTCTTCATGACAACAGTAAACACAGGAATGATCAGATGACTCATAAGCTTGTGACCCCCCCGGGGGCATCGCAGCACAGCAGGATGTAATCCTTTGTTCTGAGATCAGTTCAACACACAAACAAAGATGAACTGGGCCAATCCACCAGGAGCTGAAGTACCACAGTGTCATGTTGTTGTACACAAACGGACCGGGCGAGGACCCTTTACACCCACTGAGGACTTTAGTGACAAACAGATACATCGATGGTTGCTCAACACGACACTGGGATGTCAATTTCCCACTGAACACGCTGCTGGGATGCTTCCTGTTCTCATGAAATATGTTGTTATTAAGAGCCACTCGTCATGTAGTACAAGTTTACATGGTTTCTGCAGCATGAAAACTCACATGAAGAAATATGTAGTTTGTATTGATGCTTACTGACAGCTAGAATCTGCTGGAAGTAAGTACAAATATTGTTTGGTTAGGCCTGATTGTTAAAGTAAAAACATATGTATTTTACATTTTTAAAAAGTATGAATACCACAATTGTGCATAAAAAAAGAATTTCGGCCTCTGCACACCACTGCACTACAATGTGTTACGAAATGCATATTTACTCTCAATCTCTAAGGAGAAGCACATAGGACCAACAAATCATGACACATCTGTTAACTGCCATAAATACATATGATGATCAAAAGTAATTGATAATACAAATGTCATTCGGTTGAATAGAGAATGACAAACAAATCAAAGGCCAATAATTGTAATCTAGAGTTCAGTCGCAGCATGAATATTAATAAAGCAGTCAAGCTTTAGACTCTTTTTAGGCTTGCCTAAATGCTGTCAGTGCTGATGTCATTGCTTTATTGAATCCCACAGACTTACAAATATATAAAATAGTAAATACTGCAGAATAATACTGAACGATAGACTTCCAATCCTCCATCAAACTCCCCTCCCCCAAAAAGTGTTGCATTTCTGAAAGCAGTGTGTTTTGTTGGTTTTAACAATTACATATTCCTTCATACGACGAGGTTTGATCATTAATCTTATCTCCCTGTTAAGCAACACAAGTTTGAACTACTGTAACCATCTTTCCATAACCTGAAGTATGTGGGATGAAATATTTAAAAAACTGGATGATGTTAGGACCATGACATCTGGAAACCAGGCAGACACTGTGGTTTGTTTTGTCAATAGCTGATAGAAAGTCACTATAAGCGACCTGATTACAAACTGCACATAACTATATACACAAGAGAAAAAGACATGTTCACAAATCTCCAAACAACCAATACAGACCCACATGAGTCCGGTCAGTAACATGAAAACAAGATGAGGGCAAGTTTGCACCCCTAAAAATGTTTACATCCATCAAATGGATTTTAAAAAGCACATAAGCATGAGTTCCTCTAACGAAAAGTGAAAAAATCTTTAGTGGTGCTTGCATAATGTACCCACCACCAAAGTCATTGTGGGGGTTAATGTCAGACTAGCAGAAGCACTAAACACAAGCACTGAAAACATGTTGATGATGATGTTTGACTTCAGTGATAAGAGCATGCAGGGCCTTTCTGTTTTCCTGATTCTTGCTTTGATAACTAAAACTACACGCATACTGCAGTGTGTATTGTTTGAGAATATTTTAAACACAACAGAAAAGCTATAATTAGGTACTTAAACAGGCAGTTACAATTATAGTGCTCTGTGTCAGTCTCCAAACAACATTTGGAAATGTTCCTCTCAGAGCTATTTTGACAGAGATTTTAAATGGATCTACGTGCTAAGTGCTGATGGAACAATAACCTCTATGAGGACACTGTTGATCCTACCCCAGTAGGAGTAGTTCAATAAATGTTTTTGAAACACAAAGAAACATTAACAATACACTAATCTACAAAACAAAAGAAATCCCCCAACAAATGTGAACAGTGCTCGCATGCATAACTGTGTATGTTGGGCGAGGTCTCTTCATGTGCTGTGAAGACCTCGATGTCCACAGTGTTTTATTGCACAATCTCTGGCTTTACTAATGTTGTACTGTAACGCATTCTTAGTTCAGATGTAAAAAAATAAACTTAAGATAAAAATCAAATAGAAAAACGTTGATAGAAGTTAGATAGGTTTGTGCTATAATGCTTAAGTCACACAGCACACTGGCATCTGGATTGTGAATTAATTAATAAACTAAGAGTACAATGGGATCACACATTAGGTGGTTTGAATGAGGTCATCAATGGGTAACGTTGTGCAGAGAATGCAAGGCCTTTAAAGGTAAGGGCATGCCCAGGATTTACATCTAATCTCACTTAGTCATTGCATCACCACAATCATAGGGGCTGCTTTACTCCACAGTAATCTGTAGACGAAGGACGGGTTATTAAAAACCAGGCAGAAGAATAACTAAAACATCTCACAGTCCACTCAACAAGTTAGTTTGGTCATTTCTGTTTCTGCTGTCACTGTTATTCATGTAATCATCATGTTCCCATGTCTCTGTTAAAGTCTCTGCACTTCCCCATGTGCTGCTCCGTTCCTCAGAGCCTTTGCATAAGCCGGGTCCACACCCAGACTCCATTCAAATGTGTTCATTTCTGCACCCACAGGAGGACAGATGTCGTTTAAAAAAGGGATGTAAAATAAGTACTGATGGGGCATTTGTAAAAACCAACAAGAAAAGCACAAAAAGTGCTTCTTTAAAGGCTAACTGGCAGGCGACAATCAGCCCCTGCACATTAAAGACACCTTCATCACCAACCGTCTCCACTTGGTCTCATACTATACTGTCATTGGCAGACTTCTTCATCAGTTTGGTAGAGAGCAGGGAATGCTGGGAAGAGTTTGACCCCTTGGCCTCAGGAAGGAGAAGACGTACTTTCTGATTGGTTCTTCTCCACTCAGAGTACAGCTGACAGTGGTAGCGGAAAGACACCTATGAAGTCAGAAAAGACGGCAACAGAAGGTCAATTTACAGTTTGAGCTTGATATTAGCATTATTAATTGTAAGAATAGGTCCTTAATATTACATTTAAGATCTGATCTGTATGTGAATTAATTTCTTACCAGGGTCCACAGCACATATATGGTAAAGAGTGCGATGGTGAGGGCTATGAGGCCGACGGACTGCAGCCAGCTCCCCAGCTGGAGATGGTCCTGAGCGCCCCTCAGACACAGCCAGCCTGAAATGGCTGCTAGGGGCGTGATAAACAGGAAGCACACCATGTCACAGAACAGCGTCCTCTTCTCATTACGGGGGCCGGGGTCTCGCAGCCACTGTGGAATAGGAAGTGGAAAGAAAAATAGAGAAGAGGGAAACAATAGATAAGAGAGAAAGAGAGGGGAGGTGAGGGAGAGATGGATAGATGGGCGGAAGTCAATCATGAACGAAAAAATAACACTATAATAACACTTTTATAACACGCAAGCAAGCCAAAAGATGAGAAAAACAGCAACGTCTCCTTCACATCATTCACAAACAGCACGTAGAATAAAGAAAAGAAGAAAGATTGATGCAGACGAGGCAAAGAGCATTGACCTTTGTTACCTCTGTGAGAGGCCTGGGCCGGCGCTCGATGGTGAACTCTGTGTGGCAGAGCTCGCAGTAGCTGGTGTTGGACGATGAAAGCCACTTCTCCAGGCAGCTCTTGTGCACCGTGCCCAGAGTGCCTGTGCAGTCGCACGGAGACAGCAGAGTCTCACCGCACGCTCCTTCGTGGCAAATACGGCAGATGGGACCATCACTGAGACTAAAGACAATACATACAAAAATGAACTTTTAGCCAAATGCAGTGAGAATACTATAAGTGTCACACCAGGGACCTGAAACACAGGTATATCTATGATTCCAATCAGATGATTCCATTATTTTCAAGGTCTGTTAAATAGTCTTTTTTGTTTAGGAAGGTTCCTAACTGAGTGAAATGACCCACGATAAGAGCTGCATTTCAAAATGCTAAGGAAAGGTGCTTCAGTGTGTCCTTTCTTATCACCCTTAGCACAGGGTACACTGCACCATCCTTACTTTAAAGGGAACATAAAAAACACCATCCCACATTCCTTGTTTCTTCCATGATTGTCTTTTCCTAAGCCCTGAAGAACTCTCTCCATCACATACAGTATTTCCTTGACATCATGTGGTTTTCCAAGGAGAAGTGGTTGAGAAAAGACATAGGAATTAGTTTGAATATTCAACCACAGCCCTTGTACTGCGCATGCTGGCACACTTCAAGAGTTATAACACTAATGGAGCACTTAAAAAGAACAGAGCTAACTAATGGTGTTAGTAGCATCTGTTCTTTCCCTACAATGACGATGTCTGCTGTGGAGAAAGGCCTATAACATGAATAATGCAGCACAACATGAGTGTGTGTGAGTCTCACCTTTGTGCGCTCATGGGTTTGAGCACAGAGGACAGCAGCCGCCCATCCATGGCTGTGACCTGGGTGACGTAGAGCGCCTGGCACGCGTCTCCCCCTCCTTCATCCACGCTCTTACACAGGCCGGTGCTGCTCGAACAGTCACACAGAGAGCCAGGCAGGTGGCAACACCCGCCTGTCGTCATGGTTACAGCAGCCAGACACAGGCCGCAGAGTCTGAGGTGAGGGTGTCGAGGATCAGAGGAGAAGGCTGGTTTGGGGATCAGGAAGCACAAACTCTGCTCTCCACAGGCTGGGAAGGGTTCGTTTCTACACATTGAGAATAAGAGAGACAGATTGAGAAGAAGGTTTTAATTGAAATGGACTTGAGAAATGTCCTTTTATGCTATTTTAAACTTCAAGTTGTATGTTGTACTTATTTCTATACATTTATTTCAGACATTTAGTTACTACATCATAACTATGTAGTATTTTTAGCTCGGGGGAACCAGTCCACTATGACTTTTTGATAACATTTTTATTTAAAGTGGACCTATCATGCTATATTTGAATAATATAGTGTAGGACCATACCTATATAAGGCATATTTATACTTTTTTTTTTTCAAAATACCAAACAGTATAAACAAACAATATACTATGACTTTATTATAATTATTTGTATGATATTTTTACAACACTAGGACAGGATAAGACATTTAATATGTTGTACTTGTTTATGATTTTGATATATATTAGACATACTTTATTATGGTTTATATAAGGCCATTTCTATTACCTACTGTGCTGTGTCATTTCTTATTACATTAATATGGCATTTTTCCATGTACTTTAATAACTTCCTGCCATGTAAAGATAACTAAGGTCATCCAAGACGAAATTGTGTCATTTACAAGAAAGCTATCAGTTTTGGAGGTGGACCACTTCGCCCAAAGCAGCTGGTAATCTGTTATGAAGCAAGTGTGTTGGTCAGAGACAGTGAGTGTGATGTGCAGCTCACTGATAAACAGTTGCCTCCACTCAGATAACCCCTCACCAAAGATAAGAGCCAGACTGCTGCATTTCCTACAGTACATTCGTCCTGCTGATCATCATCCTGTACATTAACAGGCCAGAAATAAATGAATATTTCAGTGTGAAATGTTTCATGTTGAAGCAAAATTGTATATAGTTATAAGATATTACATTCAACAATTTATTCTAAAAAGCAAAACAAATTAATTGTCAAACCGAAAGGTATGTCTGATACGCATGTTGATTTTGCACTTTTGAGATGTTTCATTATATATGAGTTGAGCTCAACTACATATCATATTTTAACTTGAGCACACACACCCCCATCTTATATAAGACACAAGAAAGTGGACACATGTTGATCCTTCATATCAGACTATTTGGGTGATACTGGGTCACTGTTGTTCCTCGAAAGCTGTACACATATCTCTATTAAACCATAGCATTAAACCCAAACATACACCATACATATATAATCCTATGTACTCAGCACCGGTGTTGTGATGTTTTTAAACAAGAGGTTTAACACAGCAGATGGTGCAGATTCTTTTGGGGGGGATTTTGTCTTTATTCTATCTTCTTATAAATAAGAAATACAACAACTTGCACTCTACAATCATTTTAGCTTAACACTGATCTAATTAAATTCACAAAAAAACAACCTGCAATAAGTATTATATGTGTTTATGGGAAAACATCGATATAATGTCAGAATACTAGACTAATCTAGTCTTATCATTAATACTTCAAATGTTACAATCAACTAGAATAATCTTATTTCCCCTATGGTAGTGTGTGTGTGTGTGTGTGTGTGTGTGTGTGTGTGTGTGTGTTTTTTTTGTCAAATATTCAGGCCTTTAAACTGTATATGTTGCATTTGCTGTATGCAAATATATTATTTGGCTCACACTTGGATAGTTAAACCGAAAATGTAAACAGCCAGGAAACAGATGTTTGGTGAAACTAGAATGCCAATGTTCCTCTTTACAAAAGCAATGGCAGCAATTTCAGTATTACTGCTTTGCGTTATGATGTATGCATACTGATACTGCATGGGGGGAACGATTAAAGGAACAATCCGTGACCCAGAAAAACAGATAGGTGGCCCCCAAAAGTACGACAACAACATATATTTTAAGGTTTGGAAGTGATGTACTTTATGTAAAAACAGGGATAAAACAGACCAATGTATTTTCAATTAAGAAAAATAATTAATCATGTTAATTGGAAGCCAAACCCTTCAATTACACATTTGAAGTTGACTGTTACAAGACGTACATTTTAAATTACTCGTGGCCATTCATTAATAAAGTAGTGCAGAAACTATATTCTGCCATGATACAATGACTAGAGTTTAAGTAGTTTTCACTGTTTCACAACTAGCTATCACCCAGGCTCCCTCACACAATGTTAATTGTATGAAAAATAAGATCATGAAAATGAAAATGAAACTAGTCTAACCATAGAATAAAAAAGTAATAATAAGGGATAACCTTACACAAATAAAATCAAGTAATAAAATAGAAATGTAGTAAATGACTGGCTGTGTTATCAGAAAAAGAATCTGGTGCAAAAGGGCACCATTTGCACACAAATTAAATATATGTACCCCAAAAAACTAAATAAAACCCAAGGGTGAAAGATAACTATATGAATGTGTTTGTCTTTTAAAAACACTTTTCTGTTTTCCAATGTTTTTTCTATTTATACTTACACTGCACTGTAACTTTTGTTCTTGTATTTTATACCTGTATTATTATATATTAGTTTGTTTTATGTTTATTGTATTCTCTTTGCTGCTTTTAAAAGGGAATTTTATAATGTGTTTCTTTAATGCTTGTCATTTTTGTAAAGCACTTTGAAATGCCTACTGTTAAGTGGTGCTTTAACAATAAACCTGCCTTGCCTTGTGTTTGTGTAAATGTCTCAAAATATAAGAACAAATAACCATACATTTCCCTGTAAAAACACATTTTATTGTATACCCTGGTTAGCTTATATGCAATATAATAATTCTAAATATAGGTATGTAAAAAGGGGTAAACAGTTGTAAAACAGTGGTTTAAACGACATAATGCGATCAAGCAACCATTACCATTAACATCAAGTCAATACAATAATATATTTACGTGGCGGCATACATTAGCTGTGTATAAGTATTTTGCAGAGACATATTTAACACATAAGCACCAATTATCCAAGTTCTTGCAAAAAATCAATAACAATTTACCCTGCAAACCGTTAACCATTGGTGTCCGTTACAGCTGTGTTGTTAGCTAGCTGCCAGCTGTCAATAGCTACCTACTAGCCGTCAGTCTGGTATACAAATAAAAGCTTTAAATGTCTACTCACTCTGAGACTTCTTCTTAAAAATGTCTTCCTATGGCAGGTATTACCGCCATAATATCCTCGTGTTTCCTTCTTGTTTCATTATTTAGTTTTGAGTGTGAAATAACAGATGAGAACGCTAGCTAATGCTATATGCTATGCTATATTCAGCGTTGTGCTAGCTAGCAGCCGTCTTCAGCTGATAACAAACAGCAGGCCAGGCTTCCGCTTTCCCGGAGCTTTAAATATTCCCCAGAGGCTCATCATCAGCTGCCCGCCTGTGATGCGCTGCAGACGGCCAGACGAGAGCAAAACACAACCAGTTCAAGTGGTGTGAAAAACAACAGCTTGACAAAGGGAGGGGCGCTCACAGAAAACATCTCAAGCGTGCAGAAGAAATAAACAGAACTGACAGTACAAAGGAACATGACATATTCAATACATTGAATTGAGTATCAAAGGTATAAGCCAAACAAGAAATTCGTCAAATCAATCATTTTTTTATGAATATGCATCTTGTTTTAAAGCTAAGCAGGAAACATTAAACATATTGGGAGAGAATGGTGATTATTTGACACTCAACTGATTCATTTTACAAAACTGGAAGCCAAGAATATACTATTTTCATACGAAACATTTCAAATAAAAAAGCCAAATTCTCCATAGTTTAAACTTTTCAGGATTATATTAAGAAATTAATTTGAATCTATCCAATAAAATAGTTTTGCCACATAGGCCTACTTATTTTTTTGGAGAAAATGTTTTTTGTCATCATTTTATTTTAGGCTACTCTATTTGTCCAATTTAACAACTACCCCATGTCCTGCTACAGTACCATGTTTAATGAATGATCCTGTTGAGTCATGGCTTTTATTTTATGCTTATTTACATTGTAATGCCTACACGTTCTGTTTTGAAGTACTTAGTGTTGATTTTTAATAAGTGATTTTTTTAATAGCCTTTCTACTTATGAACCCTTTCAGAAAATGCTTTCCAAGTTAGGCTTAACAAGCAAAAATATATTTATCTATTTAGTTTTTACAGCATTCTAAAATACAATTTATTTTATATTAAGTAGTACTATATTGAAATTGTCAACTTGTTTGAATGAGGAAGAAGAACTCAAAACCCAACTATCCAACATTTTAGAGAGCCTACCTTGAGTGAAGAAAGGGCTTTGATTAGATGCTGTAAACCTACGATTTCATCTTGTGTATAAGAACGGTCGGATTAAAATGGAAGCTTGTTCTATGGACTTGATGCAGCTAGAGCCTGTATCCTCATTGTACAAACATTTCCTCCGTCAGGACAACCACCCTTCAGTTAACACCTACATTGCACAACAACAGGAGTGGACAAAGTATTACGTTACGAGTACAGAGTGAGTAATGTATCCAAACATAAGTCCGTTTCCTATACAGTCATGTGGGTAAGGTTTATTTATACTTCAGTTTATTCAAAAGTAGCATAACAAGTTTATGTTTGCTCCCTTTACATATTTGAAAGAACTGTGAAATATTGCAAGACATAATCAAATCAATCACACAAAAGCATTTCTCCAATCTGAGGGAATAAATGGTAGTTAGGTTACCTTTGAAACAATTTGCATATCAGATTTTCAGTTTAACTTTCCAATGAGCTGGAGTGTTACGTGAATAGCATTTCGAATTGGTTAGTTCCCCATTTAAATGTTTTCAGATTTCACACATCTTTATCCATTTCCCTTTAACAGGTATCACTTTCAAATGAAAGCAAAGGGTGATTAACAAATGAGAGAAAAATTCAGTTAAATCAAAATTGTTTTTTACAGCCAACAGGAAATGTTCCTCAAAGATTTTAAGTGTATGTTTAAAATTGATGGGACTTTGTTACACTGAAATGATTTGACATAAGTGCAAAAGAGATTTTCTTTCAGCTCCAAAATTACAATTTGTATATTTTACTCATCCGTCGCATGCCAACTTCTTACCAACAAATGCATTTTCAGTCAAACCTTATCATTGAATACACTTAGTAGCAGACCTGCGCAAGCATCGGACTGTAAATGTGAAAGTATTTGATATACAAATTATACTTTTGGAGATGGAGTATTCCGTAAAAAAAAAAAAGATTGTTCGACCTCAACAAACTCAATAAAGGAACACACAGATTTATCCAGGCTGATACTATTATTACACAAATAATAAAATTACACACCACAATTGTTAACATTACTTTTGCTGTATAGCATTACACATTGTTTTGCAAATAGCCTGGATTGGTTTGCCAAATACAGCAATGAAATGCAACCTCAGCAGCCTTGAAAACGCTTAGATGAGAAAACCCAAAACTGACAACGATTGCATCAGACTCCTTTGGTATCTTTGTGCACTAAGTTTGAAACACACACACACAGAAATAAAAACCCTTCATTTGTTTCACACTTGCCCATATTAAGTCAGACGGTCACAGCCAGTCTGGTCCCTGGCTCGTGTTAATTTCATGCCACAGTAGGCACAGTGCTCAAAGAGGAACATTAAAATGAAAGATGCAAATAGAAAATCCAAACGGAGCAGAGAACACATCAATACTCCAGAGGTAGCTTCTTCCCAGCTCTTCCTCTACACCCGTATTGCATGATAGGCAGAATCAGGTCAACCTGACATGAAATTGGGATTCCACTGAAGCGGATCATGACAACAAATCTATCATTGCGAGCTGAGAAAAGGAGGCAGGTAGAAACCACTTGAAGCACTGAGGGCTACTGATCCCTCACTATTCCTTCAACAAGAACGGGTCAATGGGACCAAAAAGGCTAGTTAGTTAAAAAGAAATTGTAGTTTACTACAGCTTTAAGATCAACCCCAAAAGAGCTTTACTCTCTCTCTCCTCTCCAGGTCATATCATGAGGCTGAGAATTATTGTAGACAGATTCGTCTGTGATCAGAGGAAGAAAAACAAACAAAGAACAAAACTAAGAAATCAGCAAAAAAGGAATGTCAAATACAAGAGTCTTGGTGTCACAGACTTTTTAACCCAAAGGTGGAGCATGATGACAGCAGTATGACAACTGAAGTAAACCAGAAGTGAAGAGAGGAAAGACCGACAGGAAGTCGAACAAGAAAAGAAAATAGGAGTGTCACAGGCTTTGGCAGCAAGCGAGTTTGTTGCCCTTCTGCCCGTCCGAGGTTGGGGGGAGACTTATGTCCACTACATTGTTTCCTGGAGATTCGTCATTTCCAGATCTGTCCGATATTTGCTTCTGAGATACAATACGGTAGATTTCTGAGAGAGAAAAACAGTGACCATTCAGTAAAAGTTTGCGTAACACTACCAGGATATTAACAGTGAGCTGGTCGTAATATTATACCCTTAATGAATTTCCTACCTGTGAGAATGTTCTTAAAGGCTTCTTCTACATTAGTGGAGTCCAAGGCGGAGGTTTCAATAAATGAGATGCTGTTCTTTTCTGAACAGAAAAGGAGAGAAAATATTCTTAACACATTGAAAGACATTCAAATGTACAGAAAGCTTGGATAATAACCTGCATACTTTCAAATAACCTGAATATTTGTTTAAAAAAAGAAAACACCATGTAATTCTACTTAAATTAAACTAGTGCAGAACCCAAATGCTTGATCTATGGCATTGCTGCTTGCAATTTTCTCAGAACCGCTAATCCAAACAATTTCATCTTGAACCAAAAGTAATCTGCAGTCGGTGAGCCGAGAATCAATTGGGGTCAATTTACCTGCAAAGGCTCGAGCTTCATCAGTGGGCACGGCCCTGAGGTGACGGAGGTCGCTCTTGTTTCCAACCTGCATGATGACGATGTTGTTGTCAGCGTGGTCCCTCAGCTCCTTCAGCCAGCGCTCAATGTTCTCGTACGTCAGGTGCTTGGCGATGTCATAAACCAGGAGAGCTCCGACTGCACCCCGGTAGTATCTGGTGACAGAATAAACTCGATTATTACCATGTCTATATCATCTATATTCCAGTGCAATAGTCGCACATATGACTTTAATTTACACAGAGAAAATACTCACGCTGATGTGATAGCTCTGTAGCGTTCCTGTCCAGCTGTGTCCCAGATCTGAGCCTTTATCGTCTTGCCATCCACCTGGATGCTGCGGGTGGCAAACTCCACCCCAATGGTGCTCTTGCTCTCCAGGTTGAACTCATTTCTTGTGAAACGGGACAGCAGGTTACTCTTCCCCACTCCAGAGTCTCCGATTAGAACGACTAGAAACAAAATGCACAAAAACATTAAAACAGCAGCCCTGGGTGCGGTCATGCTAGGGGTTAGGATACTTTTTTGCACTAACATAGAGTGCATATTTAGTAATTTAGAAGTCACATTAAAATAGTTTTTAGTTCCCTTCCTATTGTGACCATTATTATGGTTGACTATTATAAATGGCATTGGATGTCACTTCCTATCCAGCTCCTTTATTTCCCTAATAGGCAGAAGCGGTCAGACTTTACAACCATCATGTCCCCTGGTAGATCACCACACATACAACAACACGACTATAACACCTCTGTTGTGCAATATCACTTGTGTGCAATATATATATATATACACCTCTTCATAATCATTATATTACTGGCTGCTGACTCTTCGTTATACAATTCAACGACTGTAATAAATCTGTAAATAACTGTGCAATATATACTTCCACTGTTACTACTGTTACATGACTGCTATCACACTACTAATGTTAAACCTAGTATTATTATTTCTTAAAATGCTGTTACTGGTAGTTTTTGTTTTCCATCTGGATGTGTATTTTTGTAACTTGTAATTACAAATATTTCTAACTAATATTTCATGTATGCCTCTTAATGAGTGTTTGGCCATTTACTTTAGCTGTTACAATATACATTTCCCCTCTGTGGAGTGAATAAAGGTATTCTGTATTTCAAGCAACGTTGCTGGACTATGTTAGCTAGTTAGCTAAGTAGTCTTAGCCTAAACACAAGATGGCTCGTAAAGTGGGAAAATTATAAAATAAAGCTACTTTCTTGGACAACATATGGTGGCTGTAAAATAGCTTGCACCTATTTTAAAACTGAATTTCGTATCATGTGATGATTTTACTGAGTCCTCGTCGCTAAGTTACCATGTTAGCAATCGAGCTAACATTAGCTTACTTGCTTAAACGTTAGCTTGCTAGGTCTCTGGCGTTAGCTGCCATCACCGGATTCTCTTATTGGTTTTCGAGTTAACGGTCTACATCAATTAAAGACGACGTTTTAGCTTTACACATCGATAGGATAACTTAACATTGTGATTACATGGGTTACTAATGCAATCGATTGCCTCTTGGTTACTAGTGAAGCTAACTTTAGCACTGGCTTAGATCACTTCCTCAGTTCGTGCTGCTGTCATCGTACTCACAAAGAAGAGTAACACGCTGTCATTCATTCACCATTAAAGAAGAAATTACCTTTGAACAAGTAGTCGTATTCATCATCACGGGTTCCCATGTTGTAAGACCAGTTTTTGTACTTTTAAAGTACTTTATTCCCAACAAACAACAACAATCTTCCCAACCGGCAGCTAGTAGGCACCACCTTCAAGGAAGAGCCCAAGCACGTGAGGACAGGAACGTCCTTTTTGACCAATGGAAACTGTTGTCACATTCACTGACACACACATCAACCAATCATCACGGAGAGCTGTGAGCAAGGCCTGGCTCGAAACGACTACGCCCTGCGCTTTCCTGTAGAATAGATTGAGCAACATCTTCTTTTTATAGGATTGAGGAGTATAAACCGTAAAAACATATTACCCAATTTCAAGAAAAAAGTTCTGGTACGACAACTTATAAGGCCCGAATGAGACGATAGACAATACACTATACATCCATAGGATATCATATATAAAAAACAGGTTATTAACGAAGTAATGCATTACTGTCCATTTGCACACCACTGTCACCTAATTCTTCCTCAGTGGACACAGTAGATTGTCAGGTCTGCTCACTTTTGAGGGTTATAGGGCTCCGACTTAGACTGTTTGTGAGGCAATTATTTTTCAGTATTCTTGAAATGACAGGGAAAGCTAGATTTGATATTACTCCAATGGTATGCTGGTTGTCAGTGGAAAAGCAGAGCCTCTACTGGTAGGAATGGAATGGTCTCTGGTTGTGCTAGACTCTAGAGAAAAGTAATGTGAATGTTTCAGTGACCACAATTCATCAGACATAACCAGCTCTGACAGCCACATTTTGCAGATATGGGTCCCAATAACAGGCCTGGATAGTGTTGTTCACTGTCTAACACTTTGGGGGAGAGCCAATGGTCAGATTCCCATCAAACTAACTCTTTGTGACCTTTGATGTAGCCAATATTCTCAGTTTTATTTAACTGTACTTTCTTACATCATAAAGCTACATTTAAGGCTTCTTTCTGCTCCTCTTTTTGAATAGATCAAATAAATATTCATATCTTACACTGCCCTGTTACTTTTATTCTTGTATTTTATATCTGTCTTATTCGGCTTTTTAAAGGTCCCCTATTATACTGTTTTTCATTACTTTATTATAGGTCTCAGATATATACAACACATTTATCTGAAGTGCTTGGCTCCAAATACCAAACAGATCATGCATTGTAGTATCCCATAATCCCCTCTGTGCTGATTCTCTGTCTTTTACTTTAGATGAAAATAAGGAGCCACTCCCAACACCCCTCTGCGAGATATTTGGTTAAAAATAACACAATGGTGCTCTAGGAGGAGATTCAGGTGATAAGGTGAGGGGGGGTTACCTTGGTTGGTTATTGACTAATGGTTACACAAGCCAAACATCGTTATGACATCATAAAGTGGCCACAATCTGATCAGCTCATTTTCAGACAGGTTTTTATTTAAATGGATCAGGACAAAAAGTGAGCTTATCTTTCTTCCTGAAACTTTCAGAATCTCTTTACACAGAGGGGACACATGTTTATGTATAAAAGACAGGAAAAAGTGGATTTGCATAATAGGTGACCTTTAACGTCTTATTTAAATGTATTTGAATGTCATTTTATAACTAGTTTCTGTTGCACTATATCTTATTGATTTGAGTTTTATGTAAAGCACTTTGAAATGCCTTGTGTTGAAATGTACTATACTGTATAAACAAACTTGCCTTGCACATTTTGTCATACTTACCCGTACAATTGAAAGTACCATTATAACTTTGTCATATCTAATTTCAATTTCTGATTAGAGTATTTCTCAACCAAGAATCAATAATAATATCATATGACATTATCTCCATGAACAACAATTCATAGAACTGCTTTATTTTGTATTCATTCTGATTGATTCAAAACACACACACATACAGCCATCTATTTATCCTCACGTATAAATAGATGAATATACACAGATATACATAAATACACATTTCTGATATGCATATTCATTTTTGAAATCATGCTATGTCTCTGTAAAGGACTCTCCCTATTAGATGAGGGCACACAGCGATTTTAAAACACGTACACAACACAGCTGAACAGTTGGAAGAATCCCTATTGATTTGCATGTACAGTAAAACCCACAAATCTCTCAATGTTGGATATCTTACAAAGAAACAGCTGTGGTTTATAGACCATAAATATACATCAGCTGCATCTCCATAAACACACTGAAGAATATGGTACAGTAAATTATGTAGATTGCAATCATTTCTTGCCCAGCAGCAAAAATAAAACCAAATAAAAATAATATTCTCCGATTCAAATGGAAAATATATTTGTATATCTTTATATATGTATTTATAATTTTATGTACACATTCGCAGGAGCACAACTATGAGAAATAAAAATAAATACAACAGCACAAGTGAAAAAAATATAAACGAAAGGCCTACATGTTGATTTTCTCAATAAGGCAATAAAAACGTAAAAGCTAGACTTTCTTTTTTTACAAAATATTGCTGCTATGGTTTCCATCTGATAAACAACAGCAAACTGATTACAAATGGCCACTGCACGTCATGGGAACAAACTGATTTCTACTTCACAATGTCCGACATTAATGTGTCCTCCCTCACTAACACACACCGACCCACTGAAGATACAGTTTCTGAAGTTAGATAAAAAATCAGTTTGTCGAACTTGAGAGTCCTACGATGTCAACCACAGAGAGACGACAGTAAACACTAACGCTACAATGACTGTGATTGACTTCACCACACACACACGCACACACACTTGATAATCCTTAAAGAAATGCTGCCACATATCAGCCTGTGTGAGCAGAAATGAAGATAATGTGATGCATGTTTTATTTGGCCTCTTTCACTATTTTATCTTCAGGTCCTCTTGATAAGTGCAAACAACATTCAACCCATTTACAAACTGCTGTGTCTCCCCACACTGCAGCATACTGTGTTCATTCAAATATACAGATAACAGGTACAATATCAACTGCAAATACTTACAACTGATGCTCTACATCTACAAACATTGGAAATAACCTGTCAATAGATTTTTCTTATTCTGAGGATGTCGAACAGATATAGCATCTGTCACTGATATGCTTTTCCCCCCCCCCAACCTAAAATAAAATACATGTGTTATTGTTATATATGATTTGTGTGCATCTGTCCAACAATAGGGCAACACTGGAAGACATTGCAATGATATGAATGTGACCATAATGACTGACAATGTCTGCTGCCTTAGTGTTGCAATTAATGCCTTTCTATTTCGAAGGCTAACGTCATAAGCCCTGTTTCGTTTCTAAACAAGAGCTGTAGTGGAAAAAGTAGTAACACTGACTGAAATCGACAAACGTGATGTGAAAGCAAAAGCAAAAAAAGCTGCAGGATTGAAATTATCAAAGCAAAAATGAAAAAGTCTTTGGATGCAAAGTAAAACAAAAACATTTAAGCAATTAAAAGTTTTAAATACCAGCAAACAGTAAAAGTTATAATAAAAATACAAACAGAAAAAATAAATAAAGGCTCACAGAAGTAAAAGAAGAAAAGTTACAAAAAACATTTGATATAAATACATTATTATGCTATGAATGAAACACGTCGTCATCACTGTGTATATTGACTAATGAAATTATGCGTTTAAATTCTTCCCTCTGTAAAATAAGCTGCATGAAATCCCTACTGGAAATGTGAGGACAGGTCTAGATGTTACGTGATTGGCCGAACAATGGTTATTATTGACACTCCAGTTCTATGCGCACAAGCACAACCCTCCAACAGCACAGGCCTGAACACTCACTCCTCATCAGCACAATGATATCTCCATGTGACCACGTGCAGGAGCAACATTGTGAGTTTAAAGGCCAATCTTAACCCAAAATCATGTCATGAAGTCTAACCTTCTGTGTTTCTTTCATTTAGTTGTTGAAAGATACCTTGATGCTAGGTGAGAGTAAAGTCAGTACCAAGGAGGGTTGATGGGCTTATCCTGATAAATCTACAACATGCACAGTTCAGTGTGCTGCCCTGCAGAGTGAGAGGGCAAGCCTGTAAAGCCTGTTAGAGTGCTGTGCTTGTGGGAACTAGAACATACTCTATGCCTTTAAAAATAATTTACATCACTTGGAAGTAATCATGTTTTATTGTTCTTATAACATTGAAGTTTTAATGTGGCCATGAGACCTTCCAAGTGGAGTGAATACTTCTCATAGGCACAGTAAGTTACTATGGTCTGTCATGTATTTCAAACACTTAAGACTACAGCCGTACACACACTACTGTAAGTCACACATACACATTATTATTAAATCGGTATAATTTTCTTTTTCGTCAAGGGTGAAAGGCAGGGATGGTTGGAAATCAGTGACGTTCCCCACTGTCAGGATTTTTTTTCCCTCTCTGGTACGCAAGTCACTTTTCCCTCAGTGTGTTCAGTTTCTGTATGTTTTAAATCCTGGTTCAGACAGAGATCCTGCTGCTACCGCTGAGGTCCGGACTTCAGACCGACGAGTCCTCTCCACTGAGACGTTCGCTCCTCTCTGCCAGAGAACAGGGTTTACTGTTGGAGACATACAGAGTCAATGCATTAGGCAGAGTGCACACAACAATGCATGAGAAGATTGTTACACCCTGGGGAAATACAATTGTGTATCCTCTCATGCATCAGTTGGACATGATAGTGAAACAGTGAGTCAGGGGGGAAATAGGGAACTAGGATAGGTAAGGCAAGCGGAAATCTGAAAAAACAGCACACCGAGTAACTGAAAACCAGAAGTGAAGGGATTTGTGCCATTCAATCTGAGCAAGCATTAATTCAACCTCCAACACATATCTGCTGTGGATTAAGAGGAACAGCTATCATCAAGTAATGCTGCAAAGTAGGAGTTTCCTGAGACTATATGAAATCACATCAGCTGCATAATTAAAATAAAATAATGGCCTCCTGTTTCTGCAGTATAGAAGTCGTTTTTTAAAAGATAGCCATATAGCCAGTTCATTTCAGAATTGCTGATCATCATGCTTATGTGAAACAGGGATCAAGTTAAATATGATTTTATGTTCCAAACACATTTTTTTTTTTAATGTCTTTTACTCCTTGTTTACCTTAACTGAATTAACTGGATTAATCAGAAATCTCTCCACGGAAGTTACATTCAGAGATCCCTGGTGTAAAGATGTGTCGGAGCAGATGAAAAATAAAATGAGTAGGTCAAAAAATTCAATGGCTGATGACACTTTATTGGAGCATAATTCTGCAACACAAAACAAAGTAGGAGCAGCCTGCGTAACACAACCTCATAAAACAGTGACCACTTTTTTTTATTTACCTCCACGTGTTTATGACTTTATACAAATAAAGTTTTACTGAGAGGCAGATGGCTCTATCGGGGGTAGGAACGTTTCAAATATAAATCCTCACACTGAAAATAAGCGAAAAACTCTTTAAATAAACTCAAAGTTAATTGAGTTTAAATAAATCCACCACATTACCTCAGGTTGATTAAATGATATCTATGAGGTGAGTTTAATGTTCATATCTTTAGTGTGAATGTCTAGCAGCATGGGTGTGAGAGTGTGGTGATGCATGAGTGTGATGGCTTCCTGCAGAGCGATGTGGTGTAAAACACCCCGTGCAGGTTGTTGTGGGAGGGACACAGGATGGCTGCTCGTGGACTGAATGGTCATGCAAGCTGCATGTGACCATTTCCACCAACGTGTCAATGAGAAATGAATGCTGTAATGTAGGGGTGGTTTTCTGGCCAGTCTTTCGAACCTGAGCTTTTCTTTCTACATTTACTGTAGAAGCTTCTCACGCAGCTCCAACCTGAAGTTACACCTGATCCTTTCCATCTTTGTTACCCCAAATGAAACACAACTGATTTTATACCTGGGACTTTCCTGTACTTCATTATTTTAGTCCGATGCTTCTCACTTACTGTCTCTCCTTCCCAATCCCCATCTGGCATGGCCTTAGACTCTGAGCCATAGTGTAGCGGAGAGTACACCCAGGTCCTGTCGTCTTGAGGCTGTTTTTACACACCCACCACAGCAGAGGGGGCCAGAGGGACAGAGGACAGGCCAGAGGCACAGAGACAAGCAGCAGGGGCAGGCAGGAGAAAGACATGGGAGATCACAGGAGAAGAAAAGACAAGACAGGAAATGAAAATTAGGGATGCAAATAGGAGGAAATGTTGCTGAGAGACATCGGAAAGTGTGAATTTGACATATCAAGTAGGTGTAAAACTGTTAAAGATTGTAAAAGGATGTTGTAATCCTTTTGGCGGTTAGCACACTTGAACACAGAGATGAGAATTTGGCAGATAACAGGTTGTTTCGGAACAAAGAGTGATTTTAGGAATTGCAATATTACGATGGGTCTGACTGACGTGTTTAAATCATATTTCTTAATGAAAATGAAGTGTGCAGAGTAAGGGAATGAGTCGCGGCATCAGCCTCAGGGGGGGATGAGGACCGGGACGGAAGAATGGGGAGAAAGCCAGGATGCCAGGAAATTCATACAGAGCATCCTCAGTCAAAGCAAAACACAACAACAGCTGTTTGTCTCCTTTTCAACAAGCAAACGAGCACTTTGCATAATGTAAATAAAAGCTTCTTAAGGTACCGGCCCTTTAGGTTTGTTGGTGTAGGTTGATTTCACATGTTTACACACACTCACGCAAAACTCAGCACAATGAACCTAACACATTCACACAGGTGATATGGAGGAGGAGGGAGGCTGTCAGTGAGTGAGGAAGCAAATGGAGATTCAAAAAAGATGATAAAAGATACAAATAAATTAAAAAAAGACAGACTGCCAAGTAAAACATTTTTTGTTTACCTGACTCGCACATTTTATTTTCTTCACAATGTGAAGAATAGGTAGTGTTTTTTTGTTTTTAACACAATCACACAAACACTTGAGGTTAAAGGGCCCTATTATGCTTTTTGGGGTTTTCCCTCACCTGTAATGGCTATCTAGGTTAAGGTGCATGTAAATGGTCTGCAAAGGATAAAATTCCAAAGTTCCAACACCCCCCGGCTTGAAACGCCTCTATTGGACTCCGTTGTTTACCTCTGTAACATAGTGACATCACTATGTAACACACGTTCTTCTTTTGGCTAGCGCTCCAACACATTGTACTTGATAGGCTAAGAGGTGGGATATCTCTAAGCGGATGACCAATCATAACAGATCCCGCCAACTAACCAATCAGAGCAGACTGGGCTCTGGTTTCAGACAGAGGGTGAAAAGAGGTGCTGCAGCACAGGCAGTATGAGAAAAATAAAGAGCTTTTTGAACATCAAAGCATGGAGACATGTCAGAGTAGAGACACACAATACAAATATGAACCTGAGAATGAGCAGAATAGGGCCCCTTTAACACATCACACAAGCTGCAGTTAAAACCATATTGTGTCACAAAACAACGGCGATGTACTCGGACTAATCTATTCTAATGCCAGGACAGCAACCGGCTATAATACTAACACCATCTCACTTACGGGCCAACTGGACTGGCATTTCTTCCTCAGTCGGAAAGGAGAGACCACCCAGGTCCTCCCATCGGGAAACTGACAGAAATATGTGTGTATGGCACAGAGACAAACAAAAAAGAGATGAAATGTAAGACAGAGGGTGACAGAGGAGGAAAAGTGCAATAACATGATGAGGTGAAAATGGAAAACACTGTTCTGAATGCGTGTGAGATACTGCGGGTAAATCAGCGGTGACAGTTAGATTAACAAGTCTGGCAGCAACTCTGTTTTCCACACGACACAAAAGTATATCACCACTTTCATCGTGACTCATGAGGCCATCCCAGGTGAGAGACAAAGCTGAGAGAATGAAGAGAACCGGAGGAGAATGATTTCAGGATAAGATGGAAACAGGGTAAGGTGAAAATTGTTTAAGAGTAGGGGTAAAATGTGATAACAGCGCAGAGGAGGATGGAGGTGAAGAATTGAAGACGAGGCAGACAATACGAATAACAATCAGATGTGGATGACAGAGGTGAAGGGGAGCAGAGCGTGAATCATGAAAAAGTGAATGTGGAGAGTGCTGATAGTGGCTGAATAATTTAGTCACGAGCCACCCTGAGGAACCTGTGAACTGATGACACACACACACACACACACACACACACACACACACACACACACACACACACACACACACACACACACACACACACACACACACACACACACACACACACACACACACACACACACACACACACACACACACACACACACACACACACACACACACACACACACACACACACACACACACACACACACACACACACACACACACACACACACACACACACACACACACACACACACACACACACACACACACACACACACACACACACACACACACACACACACACACACACACACACACACACACACACACGTCCCTTCAATCTCACAGCTGAAAGATGTGCTGTGTTCCCCCCGAGGTGCAACATGACCAGCTCTTGTTTGAAAATGCAGACATATTCCCTGACCGTTCCTTACTGTATGATTCAATGCTTTGAAAAATACTGTCCTCTAAGTCTGAGTGTGTAAGTCTGCAGTTTACATGTACACTAAACAAATGCCAGCATGAGGGTCTAATTATTTTACTTATGAAAAGAAATGCAAGTTGCTGGGGGCGAAGAAGGACTGACAACTGAGTTATTTTGATTGTATCTTATGAAACATCAACCTAGTGAACCAAACCCACTGATAAAATAAAGTAAATTAGCTCAAAAGCACAAAAAGTGAGGTAAAGCACCGTTGAAACTACTCCAAAACCTGACGGATATGAGAAGCAATAATAAAGTATGGATAGAGGGGCGATAAAAGTGACATTGTTTAGAGGTTCTTGCTTTGTCAGTGTGAATGTTGTGCACCACCATGTGAGGTTGAGCAGCCATGCAGAAACGTGATTTGTGTGGGATGTCAGAAGTGATGATGATGATGGAGAAAGCAGAAACAGAGAGGGAACACAAAGGATGAGCAGATGGTGGATTGAGCACCTCAACAGCAGAACTGACTGAAATTACTTTTTTTCCAAAGTAGGTCTGTTTTTTTCGTTTTTTTAAATATGTTTTTATTGTCTGATGTCATTGTCCCAAAAGAAAAAAAACTCAAGTAACCTAACCCTTATTTAAAGTTATACTTCAGTGGAAAACAGCAACAATTATATATTGAAGCAGAAAGTGTCATCAGATTAAATCATGTTGGGAATTTAAAAAATAATAACATATACCTTATTATAAAAATATATTTAGACTTATTTTGAATGATGGTCTTTTGGAGTGCAACACTCTGGATTTATTAGAAATATCCACAGCTGGAATAATTTTACAAATAATATACTACTTATAATATTAGTCTAGCCTAATTGTAATCTGCAACTGTGCACAAATACTGGGTTTAAATTAAATAAAAAATGCAAAAATGTTGATTTATAAGCATTATGAATAAAGCTTAAACAAATTGTTACTGCCCTATAATTTACCGGAACATAATCTATATACAACATGTGTGAAGTTTGGATCCCCGCAGCATGTTAACAGCTTCTGAAACAGATGACTTTCCCTCAGTCCCCCCCCCCCCCCCCCGCCTGCAGCATGTTTCTGTGTAGTTACACTTCAGGGCGCTACAGTGTCACTTCACTTCACCTCGAGCAGCGCCACAGACCCCCTGCTGCTGAGTGTCCGGCCTTTGAACTGATCATCAGACAGAGCCGGTCAGATGAGAGGCCTGTTAAATAACCCAGGGAGCTCTTTGACTAACCTGTTGGCCATTAGTATTCCTCCTGCCACATTAGAGGGTGTTTGATTCCTGATAGGGGACACTCAGCAGGCCTGCAGCCGGGTGGGAAAGTTTCTATCTGACACTGTGATCACTGGCTCCACTCTCCTTCCTCCACCTGACACTCGTACATGAATTCATAGCTGTGCTTTTGGGAACATTTAGACCAACACAACACTATCTGATAACTAGATTATCTGCTAGACTGACACACACACGCTGACTGCAAACGCTTGGTTGTTATTCACTCAGAATGAGCTGCTGAGTGTGTCAGTTTATCATATTAAACAGGAACTCCAAAATGGTGTTGACATGCAATATCAATCTGCAAACACTCACCACCAGAGTGCACACTGCAATACACTGTGTTCACAAAATAGTGTTAAATAGTTCTGCAATTTGGGAATTATGCTTATTGGCTTTCTTGTTGTAAGTTAGATGAGAAGATGGATAACACTCATGTCTGCACACTTATATGAAGCAACAGCCAGCAGGCTTTTAGCTTAGCATAAAGACTGGACCCAGGGGAAACGGGTACTTTTTGTCTGTCCAAAAGAGAGAGAATCTATCTTCTAGCACCTCAGAAGCCTACTGATTAAAATGTTTGATATGTTGGTACAAAAAACGTGTTAAAAGGGGTTTTGTGCTAGACTTATCTTCTCATATAACTCTCTGAAGAAAACTCAAAAGTCTATTTCCCAAATGTCGACTTGTTTCACACACTGCAAGCAATAACTGCACACACTCTTATTCCCATACCAGCCTGAGTCGCTACTTCCTTTCTTTGGTCCTTCGGTCAACGCCTCTGTGGGATATCATATAGCTTTATGTCATGACTTTATGATCATAAGTGCATTGTTAATTACAAATATAGCTCATATCAGTGACGATACACGATGGCCCTGATTAAATATCAAAGATGATTTGATGGCTAAAATAAGAGGTCAAACTTAAAAAGATGAGAAGTGATGGGAGATGTGTTCATTTCATCTTAACATGGATTTGAAGTCATCTAAAAGTGTGTGTGTGTGTTTGTGTGTGTGTGTGTGTGTGTGTGTGTGTGTGTGTGTGTGTGTGTGTGTGTGTGTGTGTGTGTGTGTGTGTGTGTGTGTGTGTGTGTGTGTGTGTGTGTGTGTGTGTGTGTGTGTGTGTGTGTGTGTGTGTCTGGGTGGAGTGGTTTTGCTTACAAAGTAGATATCTGTGATTGGCACGTCGTCTTCATCGTCGACCGAGGCCTGGCTGGTGCAGCCGGAGCCGGACACCTGGCTGGCCCTGTCTGCCTCCACCACCACCACCTTGGGACTGGGGGGGGCTTCACCGGCTGCCCCGGGAGAGAAGGGATCAGCGGGGGCAGTCAAGGAGGAGGAGGCTGCAGCTGCTTCGGGTGCTGATGAAGAGCTGGAGGGAGCTGCTGCAGCGGCTGCCTCTGCTCCAGCACCTTCCTGAACCTCGCTGTGGGAGGGGGAGATGGGATTGTTGAAGAGTTTGATCCAAGGCTTTCAAAGTCTAACAGTGTAGGTCCCCCCTCGGACAAAATTAAGACAACTATCTCCCCTTATCCGCTTTCTGTTGTGTTTAGCACACATTCACCTTTCAATTAAACTTCACACAGTACTTTTGCGTTATGTCTAGTGTAGAAATACAGGTTTAAACAAGAATATAGTGCTGTAATTATCAAAGAGGCTCTGTGTGGTTTGGGAACAAAAGAACAACCTAGTAACATACACACACACAGACACACAAACACACACACAGAAGTTGCCAACATTGTGAGCCATTTATTGGGTCAGTTGCCATAAGCCACTTTCCTGCAGCAGGGCAGAGGAACAGGACAAAGCTATTAGAGCAAACACTGGCTGAAACCCAACAGATGAGTGTGTGTGTGTGTGTGTGTGTGTGTGTGTGTGTGTGTGTGTGTGTGTGTGTGTGTGTGTGTGTGTGGGAGAGAGTGTTCTTGTGGTTTAGCTGCTTAAGCTCAAAGATTTGCCAGCTGGCTGTGCACTGCCACAATCCTGTATTGTTCCTGGCCAGATCATCAACTATTAGAAAGGATTTAGACACATCCACATTGCTTTCTCAGCTTCTGTCTGTGAGCTCAAAGCCAGCAGAGGAGAAGCCCGGCGTCTGGCCACTGAGGGGGAAACAAAGCTGAGTTTGCATCTAAGAGATTGGCAGAACAAATTAGGGGGCGGGGGGGTAGTGGGATGTCTGACTTCAACACCATCTTCATTTCATTTAGATATATCGTTATTAAAATGTATATATATCCTATCCTTGTCTCTCTGCATATCAAAAACTAATAAATCCGTTATTTTATAATGTTAAATCAGACTCTTTAATGCTTGAATTCCACTTTGCTCCCTTTTCTCTACATTTCTGCTTTTACTAATTTACAAGATGACTATTTTTGTCTTTCTCACCCCTCCAGCATTTCTTCACATGAAACATTCTGTCTAATTTTCTCCTTCAATCAGTAAGTCTGCAATGATCCTTTCTCTGCTCCATGTCTCTCGTCTCACACCCACCCAGCTCTCCGTCTGCAGGTGAGTTAGAGCCTGGACTCAGTCAGATGGATAATTCAGTCGCCTGTCCTCATCTCTGCTCTCACAGCCCCCTCCATCCTCCCGCCAGCTCCTTCTCCAGACCCCCGGGCCATATGTCTAGCCACTGGCTTCTCAGCATCAGACACAATTATTCACTTGGTTGGCCCTGGCAACCACACCCTGATCCTAGTTGACCCAATCCCGACTCACAGTAACTTTCAGCCCCTCTTCGACCAGCTGTGTATGAATAAAGTTTATTTTATGAGGCTAAAACATCATATTTGTACATGTGGTTTTCTCTTTTAGCTCTCTAATAGCTCTCCAGTTTCTTTCTATGATTCAGTTTCAGTTTAAAAAATAAAAGACATTAAATATAGGTTAAAATATGCAAAGTGTCAGGTCATCCCGTCTTTATGGGAACCCCCCCAGGCCTCCTGTCCCACTGCCCTACTTTCTCGCGCTGGCCCCCCATGTAGGGGCTCCTTCGGCTCTGTGTCTGCCTCACAGGGTCACCCCAAAAAAGAACACACACTTCTCATGAACACAACACAGATTTTCATGCATGTGCGCACTCTCTCATAACTTAATTACTTCAGAGTAAATGCCTGAAGCCTTTATCTGTCCATAACAGGGCACTCCAAAGTCCCATAAACAAATCAGCAAAGCTGCTTCAGTGTTGAACTGTGTGTAATATTAAGCATTATGTGTGTGTGTGTGTGTGTGTGTGTGTGTGTGTGTGTGTGTGTGTGTGTGTGTTTGTGTGACAGGTGAGCTGGCAGCAGGTTATTTATAGTGCGGTGCCAAACTGAGTGATTTTGGTGATTACATCTTCACAGCTTTTCCATCCATTAATGGGGTCACACGAATAATAAGGGCGCATGACGGAGCTGAGTCTTTATGTGTTTCTGTTAACAGTGGAAAGGACCAAGACATGTGTGTATCATATTATATATTTGAATCAGAATATAAAAAAATGATGTGAGCTGTCATAAATTCCCAGAATGTCTTACATTAGTTAATGTCTAAAAAGCAGCTCTAGGATCCCCTTTTCAATCTGTTCAGTTAATAAAGCAAAGACTAATTCAAATTAATTGATTAAACTGAGATGTGTGCAATTATGGAAACAACATTGTCTATTTTAATGTGTTATTATTATGCATCAGATCTACAGTAAGTGCATTTAATACTCTTGCGTCTTCTATGTTTCCTGTATAAGACTACATGACAATGACATGGCATATAGAGTTGTACATTTAGAACTTGTTGCACATTAACAATCAGGTAAAACAACATTGTGTTTTACCTGGCTTCAGGTGAAGGCTGTGGAACGGAGATGGTGGGCTCACTGTCGTGTCTCTTCAGCTCCACCTCCACTGTGATGGTCTGCTGATCCTCCTCACGCACGCGCATCTCCTCCTGGGTCCTGAACACAAGCAAACACACATGAAACAACGCACACAGAGGAAATGAAACACGTGTGGAAAAACAAACACGGCCACTTCTTAGCAACAAGGAGAATGGGCCTTCACATAAACACACCAACAGGCTGACCTCACATTTTCTCCTCGACACCCACCACACCCAGAAATGTCTAATGCTGGGAAAACATGAAGCTAGCAACCCACACAGCTCTGTAAAAACAGCTCTGTTAATCCTGCTCAAAAAGGTTTATGATGTGAAAGCAGCATTGATGCTCCAGACTCACCTCCCGTCGTGGCTGAGAGACTGGGTGTGCCTCCTGCAGACAGAGGACAGTGTCAGTTACAGCTGTACATGACAACAGCAGCAGCTAGCTGACAAGGAACCTGCTGCTGTGGCTGAGGAGACTCTCACAGGAGCACCTACTGACACTATAGTGGTCATTTATTCTCAGTTTCAATTGCATTTTAAGGGTTTTAATGAGGTTGATGCAGCAAAATAATGATTCATTTGCGGAAGGTAGACTCAAAATACAGGTAGAACATCTCTGGAAATAATTTACACAGAATAAGGAAAGATAATCATACATTTCAGTTCAGCTATCGAAGACTTTGTCAATATGTTGCTTCAACAATAAAGTAATATCAAAGGCAATGTCAACTGTACTTGCATACAACGTGTCAGAAAAAGCATTTATCTTATTGTACGGTTTGCTTAGTGTGTGTGTGTGTGTGTGTGTGTGTGTGTGTGTGTGTGTGTGTGTGTGTGTGTGTGTGTGTGAGCACCTGTATCGGGGGTGCTCGGCGGTGTCACAGGGGGATCTCTCGGGGATGGACAGAGAGGTGGTGGAAGAGAGAGTGGTGGCAATAGACGCTGTGGTGGCCTCTTCAAACGAGGGAGGAGTGCATGGAAGATGGTCTGCTCGGCCTGGAGGAGAAGAGAAAGAGAGACACACACATATAGATATGAGTGTATATAACTTTGAGATTATTTATTTCACCTTTTTATTTTCAGGTATTATGTTGTGTATCATATTTCTTCTTGACTTTTTTTTTTATCTAGTGTTATATTTATGATTAACCATGACATTTTTAGTCTATTTTTCAAACTGTAAAGCACCTCATGCTGCATTTATTGTGTAAAAGGAGGCATGAAGTGCTGTAGTGCCTGTCTTGCCCTATGATTCCAATGACACCAGCTAACAGGCCAGTTGTTTTCCAAAGGTTCGAACGATCAGAAGTTGTTTTGTTTAAAAAGGGGCAGAATATACCTTCCAGAACAACATTTTACTCATCCAAACTCAAACAACTGATGTTTCCTATTTTCTTTATTTGGTTATCCTCCCTGCACTACAACTCTGTATACAGATGTGATTTACCTTCATCCTCCAGCGTGGGGAAGCTGCGAGCTCCTCTCAGGTCGTAGATGTTCTCGTCTCTCTCAGACGGCAGCTGGCTGGCTGACCAGGCGGCACCGGGGCCGATACACTTAGGCACCGACAACGACACGCGACCCTTCTTAGATGGAGAGGACTTCAGAGCTGAGGGGCAATGCACATTGACACCTTCAATAACTTGGTAAACATGGGAAAGCACATTTCACTTTGTTATTTCTGGGCTGGGTGCAAATGGGAAATTCCACACAGATTAAAACAAATCATAGCACCGGACTCTTTACATATATCAATGTACTGTTTCAGCAGATGTATTTGACCTGTTAATCAATAGCAATGTGTTGAGGCTGCAGTACAATACAAACGTTTAAATTGTCAGTTGAAGTAAAAACGCAAAGAATTAAAAATGAAAATATCACATCTGCCCTCGGGCCTCCACAACAAATACTTATTTGTGTGTTCGTTAATCTTTGGAAGGAGATGAAAACGAACTGCACAAGGATCAAATGGATGTTTGACTCTCACATGACACGAGGCAGCACCTAATAAGGCAGGTGGGTAGCAACTGTATCTGATTTCCTGTCAAGGCTCGGCTGTAAAAGAGACAAAAGCCTAGCATCTGACATTTGCGTCTGAGCTCTTCTCACCCAGCCCTCGTCTTGACTATGTAAGGCAGTGTGTGGATGTAAATTGAACTCACAGGAGCTCTTCTTGAAAACGTTGCTGCTCATGAACTTGAAGAACCTGTCGGCGTAGAAGCCTGGCCGGTGGACAGACACGGTGTCCTGAGGGAGAGACAGAGACATTAAGGAGACATTAGTGCACAGATAAAATGAGCCAACCATTGCTAATTGGAGATTAAACTGTCTATTAGTCCCTTTAGTTTTCCACACCAGGAATTATCAGTTAAAACGACCAGGCAGAGCAAACCGTTGAAAAAGTCAGAAAATATTTAGACTAGTTCTGTCAGGATAACTATGGCCTTATGGTATGGTATACAGTCCGAACATGATTTTGATTATTTAATCCGACCTTTTGTTTACATACATTCATTTTAACATAAGAATGTCACCAACATGTACCCTACCAGAATAAGACTTGCTCATTCTTAAAAGCAGACCCTGTGAGTCCATTTTATTTATTGTTTTTTTAATTATCTTTCTTAATACATTTTATTTGATTTAGAATAGAATTTAGGATATTTTATATTCTTAGGAAATAAAACGTAATTGATCTTTGCTTTTTAATGCTTTTATATTGTCATGATATCAGTGGTATAGAATGGTATTGAAAGACAATATATAGTCCAAACAAAAGTCGTTTTTGTGACAGGTTGCAGTCAGATCAGAGTACAGACACGTCTCTTCATTATTCATGCTGCAGCGGAGTGAGATCACACTGCCGGCAGACTGACAGATGACACTTGGTGTTTGGTTTAGACTGACAGAAGGAAGGAGGGATGGAGGAGAGTGAGAAAGTGAAGGCTTGGTCGTTATAATTTGCATTACCAGACTCCACCATGAGTAACATCTGAACGCATTCACCTCACGGAGGCAACCACAGAGAGAGCAGCGAACCTCAGCAGTGACGCACAGGAGGCTGAGCAGGGCTTCTGCTCGCTCCACATATATCTTGTTTTAGCGTATTATTGTGTTTCAGAGTCGGAGACAGGAGTGAGTAAGGAGAGAGCGCGGAGAGATTGATGACTGCCTCTATCTTGAGAAAACAATCTGGTGATGATGTACAGTGTAAACCCACTATAGGTAAAGAGATGTGAGGTGCTTTTCCATCACCTCTTATAAATACCAAGGGGTTTTCTGAAATGCTTTGCAAGCTTCAGTTACATTTATGCAACCAAGACTATGACACATATTATAAAATGTTCTGGTATGAGCTGCCAATCCTTCTGGATGACGTATTTTTTGTTTGTGAATTGTTTCTGATTTGTTGATAATAAACTATTTGCGTGATGTTAAATGTGTTGCATGCACATACAATTCAAAATGGAAAGAGGGATTTAAAAGAAAAAACCACATACAGTCATTCATATAAATATGCGTGCACACTTTTAATTCAATTGTTCAAATGTATGCATGTCATCAAGAAAGTGTGCTACCTTTTCTGTGTGTCTCTCTCTCTACGTTTCTTAAATAAAGGCTGACTCATAAATAAATAAATAATTCAAATTAAATAAAGGAAATGTAATTTAAAACAAGGAAAAACTCAAGTCATCTTATCTTTATGACACTAATAGAAAAATAATGAGAATGAGCGTATATTGAGTGCAACATTATAGTTAAATACGAGCTCAATAAAAGGCAAATGTGTCTTTTGATAGGCATTTCATTCCCATTTAAGTAACCTATAGCTCTGGTTAGAGCTGACGTCTAATAAGATGTAATACACCTACTACTGGGCCCGCAGGATATTGATGAGTTTAGTCTTGCAAGTTAAAAGAAAGTTCACACATACTGGAGGAGACAAGCTGCCAGAGATACACAGACAAAGATTTTAAAAGAAAGGAAGATCCAAAAACAGAAATGCTTGAGGCCGTTGTCTGATGCCTCGCTAAATGTAACCTGTTGATATTGTTGTGTAATCTCCTAAGGGAGGGCCCGAATGTGTGTAAATAAAACGATTCACACAGTATGCGGTCGGATGAAAAGAGTCAAGATCAAAATAATAACCATTTTGTTAACTGAAGAGTCAGTGTCTTTCACTGAAATATGGATGAGTATGATTTAATGTATTAGTGTGTTTATCTGTGTGTTTACGAAACTTACCCCGTCATGAACCAAAGCCTTCCATGTGTGCTCCAGTTTCTTGATTAGCCTGCAGAAAGAGAGAGGAGAGAAACAAAGTTTAACGCAGTGATGTTATAAATGTCATATAGTATAGGCCAAGAACATTAAATGTGTTGTCTGAAGTGATGGAGTTTATTTGGAGCACGGCTGCTACAGAAGACAGGCACAGTGTGTACATATAGTTCTCTGATGAAAATCTCCAGCCTGTCGCACTGGAAGATGTGCAGCTGATGACGTTTAATCTCATGACTACTGTGATGCTCACCTGTAGGACTGCAGGATGTCGATGATTCCAACGTAGAGAAGAAGTCTCTCTCCTTTTCCATTCCAAGCTGGGATACCGCCCATCCTGCAATGAGAATGAATAAATAAAGTTTAAATAAAAAGTATGTAAACCTGCTACAGTGTCACATTTCTATCCTACAAGACGAGAAGACAAAAGATTTTCAGCAAACAAATTCAGCACAAGCTAAACTAAAATCTTAGTGTTAACACTGTACACATGCTAAAAATACAAATATTCATTGTTTCGTTCTAAAATATTGCTCGGGGGTTTACTATTAAAAACTTGAAGCAACTTAATAGTCATATAAAGCAATGAAAGTGTGTGGGGAAGTGTAAACAATGAAAGTAAATAAAACAGTTTAACGAGAAGAGTTTGAAAAAGCTTTTCTGGAAAAGTTAAAGTGGTGAGGAATGAGAGTGTAAGCACTGAGTTTGACGAAAAAGAGCAACGGATAAAGTTTATTATCTTACTACATGTATTCAACGTAGGGCTGTGCGATTATGGCAAAAATCATAATCACGATTATTTTGGTCAATAATTGATATCACGATTATTAAATACGATTATTCATGACTTTGAAAACATCCATTTATTGAACTTTCAAATACAAATATTAATTTGAACAGTATCTTTTTAACTGTTGATTTCCCTGAACGTATAATTCAACTGAAAAACCAATAAAAAAATTAATAAAAAAATTATACATTTATATCTACATTTAAATAAATAATATCAAAATAATAAATACCAATAAACAAGATCAACAAATATTTTGGAGCGCACTTCAACAAGCTACTAAACATATATAAATATGATAAATACAAATAAATTAGATCAAATATGTTGCAGTGCACTGTCACAACCTAGCAAAGCAAAATAATCTTTTTTTTCTATTATGTTGTTTTCGTAATTGTGGCAAGCGAAAATCGTAATTGATTAATTGCACAGCCCTAATTCAACGTTATTTATTCTTAGTGCTATGGCATGAAAGTGCAAGTTTAGTAGGGGTGTTGAAATTCATCGTTTCTACGATGCATCGCGATGCGGACGTGGATGATTCTGCATCGATGCAGTGACAGAACATAATCGATTATAGCGTAGTAGCGTGGCTTCCTGATTTTCCGGCCGCGGCTTTACAATAAAGTTGTTTTTTCTGTCACTTGAATATCAAATCGGTCGGTGACGCAGAGATCAGGGAACAGACGTGACAGCGGCACCAAACACGGAGCAGTCTGCTTTATCCACAAACACAATCACCAGTCCAGAACCAACAGCAGAAGGACCCGCTCTGAATCACTCCGTGTCACTGCGGCTCAGACACAAGGATTTATGTTTTTAGTTTGGTGGATTTAGAGAAGTCTTGGATTGCAGAGTATGAATGTCCTCTTGCTATTTTCAGACGATATATACGTGTGTAAAGTTTGTGAAGGCAGGAGGAAAAAAGCTTCCGCGATCACCGTCTCCTCTGTTCCTCCAAACCCCGCCCCCTCCCTGAAAATAATGAGTGACAGGCTGATAATAACCTGATAGACACTTTATTATTCACTTAATCACTGATTGAGATATGATGAAGCTAATGTAACAGTAAGACAGAGAATGTAAGTGTGCACCCACATGCAGTATTTTTGTTTTTATATGCTGTTGTAAATACTCCTGTTGTCTGCTGTGTTCAGACTCAAGTCCTGTGTGTGATGCCACATTCAGGACATTCAGTGTCCTTTCTTTAACAGAAGACGTTGCTAGAAGCTGCAGTAAGACTGCAGAAGCATTAGTTTTTTGTTTTTGAGGATGGAACAACTTCACACACAGATATAGGAATGCTAGACCTATACAATTGATTTATTTTGGTTTATAAATTAATGTCAAGACATTTATGTTATTGATTTCTGAAGCACTTTCTAAATAATGTACATAATAATGTATTTACTGCATGTATTCATTGATGAAAAAGAAGCCATGTGCAGTAATATAGAAAATTGAGGATGCAACGCATTGGTATGAATCGTGATGCATCGGGAAATCGAATCGAATCGAATCGGTGACAGGATAATCGTAATCGAATCGAATCGTGAGACCAGTGAAGATGCACAGCCCTAAAGTCTAGTAGATGCACTCCCCCCTTTTATTCAGTGTCACATTTATCACTCGGCTCTCTTGCCACAGCCTCTTTGACTCACGTGTCGTCGGTGTCGATGGTCCCCCCGCAGGCCGCCCCCCCCTGGATGGACTCCATGGCGGTGGAGTACAGGGCCTTCTGCTGGGCCACGGGCCTCTTCTCATCGCTCTCGCCCTGGGAGCCCTCCATCTGCCTCTCCCTCTCCGCCTGGTCCATGTTGTGAACCCCGAGCAGCAGACTGTAGTCCATGATCTTAAAGCTCTCCAGCACCTGAGCAGAGGACAGGAAGTGAGCGGTGACTGACGGACACGTGACGTATAAAGCTTTTATCTAGAGTGCATAACAGTGTCAGCACCAGGGGGAATGAGGACAGGAGTCATGGAGCTATACAGAGTGATGCACACACTAATTAACTATGCATAAGATAGCCAGTGTGAGCATATACTCCAAACAAGAACGTGCACTGAGAAGGTTATTACGAGGTGGTGATTTAAGAGACAAGGGCAGGCCGGCCACCACTGCAGACCCCTTATTAAACACAGTGCTGTAACAAAGCTCTAATTTATAGCGAGGGACCCTGGGAATGCCAAGCACTCTCGTAAATAGCTTTTGTTTCTTTCACTGTCTTCTTCAATCCAAACTCCCTCCCTTCTCCTCTTTTATTAAAAGGTAATAAAGGTAACACTTTACATTTATAATTATCGCTTTGTATTGCCAAGGAGTGAAAGGATTATAACGTAACTCACACTTGTTACCTTCCTTTGACTTTCTTGGTTGCCTAGAACAGCCTGTGGACTGATTTCTATGTAAAGGCCTTGGGATGCTTTCATCACAAATATAACTCATTGCTATTAGTTTGACTCACATTGCTAATTGCAGTATGATTTGTGATATTAAAGACTCTTTAATAGCGGATGATCATTCAGCGTTATTGAGATATATGAATACTCTTCACGTTATTACTAAAAATCATCAAATAATATGATAATCTGTACCAAACAAAGATTTTGTATTAAGTCTGTAAAACATTACTCACTTTTTACTCACTTATTTTGCCTTTACCAAAATTGGGTTAACTGTGGATACTGCACTAGCCAATATTGTGGATTTCCTACCAATTTCGATTAAATGTGTAGCCCTAATGATGACTGAGGTTCCCTTAAAGGTGCTAGTACCAAAGATTTCCTAAAACTTCTAAATAGTATCTTTGAACAAGGCCCCATAATATCCTGGTTATTCCAGCACGTTTCCATTTCTTTTTTATTGAATTTCTACCCTTGTTTCTTTTCCTTTGAGACTCAGCCTTAGGGTATAACTTTATCCTTCCTTCAAACAGGCTTATAATTTTCCGCTAAACTTGACTGCCTAGGATCTCCCTCCCTCTCACTGAAGGATCTCTCTCTCCTAGGCTCCTTCTCCCTCCTTCTGTCCATGTCTCTTGCCTGTCTATCTAAGCTTAGATACAATAGAAGTGGTTCCAGTGAAGAGCCTGAACACAGCTGCTGTTTGTGTCTCCGTCCCCTCACTCACCAGGCAGTCTCTCTGTAAGGTCTTCACCAGCGCGTTGTAAGTGTCCTGGTCCAGCATCAGACCCTCCAGCAGGTTTTGCATGAAGTCCAAGTCTTTGAAAGTGGGCCTGGCCTTCTCTCTTTCCTTCTTGGATGCTCGCCTCTTGTAGGTGGAGCCCTTCAGGTCGTATTTGAGGTGCATGCGAACTACGCGGGGAAGGACGTTGTTCATCACCACCAAGCGGATGTTCTTCCCGCCCGACTGGACACAGTAGAGGCCGAAGAACTTGGGCAGCAAAGTGCGAGGGTTCTGATTCAAGTTCTGGAGAAGAGTGAAGGAGAAGAAGAGAAATCATAAGGCCTTTAAAAGGTTCATAAATGTTTTTTTTGCTGCTGACAGGATTTAGAAGCAGGACATTTGAGGGAATTGTTTAAAGGAATTCAATTGTGCGAAGAAGCTGTCAGGGTCACCACAAATTGTAATACGTTTTACAGAATTACATTTTTACAAACACCCAAGGCCAAGATGTGCATTTTTTTTAGACTTTGCACAAGTAGAAAATGTTGGCACTGTAATGTAAAATATCTGAAAGACGCTATTTTTTGGCGAACAAAGACAGAAAGGAAAATATAACAGGACCAGGATCCCGACACATCATTTTTTCATGGGACCTTTAAGGGTTAAAAAATACATGAGCAAAAGGAAAGGTGATACATGTTCTGCAAATAGTTTATTTATAAACACTACTTAATGCTCAGTGTACACAAACTGTCAACCCAGTTATTCATATGATTGCCCCAGGAAGTTTACATAACAGACAACAAACTTGAGTCAAGACCTCACTATGAAATAAAGAAGTGGTGATGCTTAAACTGTCATTTCATTTTCACTGTTATCAACTGTTTGGGATTTAGGAAGGCATTAGGCTTGCAAAAATCAAGTAACACAATTATCCTAAATTTGTAAAAAATGTTTCATACATGATTCTGCATTTTTACACTTCAAGAATCCCCCATCAATCACCAATCCGTGCTGAATAAACCAATCTCAACTAAGAGGTTACACTGTCTGGGGGCTCAGTTAAAAACCTGCTTTGACCTTGGGACCTGGGCCAGCTCGTTTCCATTAGAGGAATGAGGGGGAAGATGAAGAGAGAGTGGTCCACAAAGCCATAACAGAAAGCATTTAGGAGCAGATATGAGGAGGAAAAAAAGAGGAAACGGCAGAGGAGAGATGAAGGATGAATGTGGACATATGGCTAAAAGGCTCAGCACTTGTGTAAGTGACCTTCAGATTAGAGGAACTGGGGAAGAGAGAGCAGAAAATGAAAAAGAGAGATTGCAGAAAGACAGAGAGAGAGAGAGAGAGAGAGAGAGAGAGAGAGAGAGAGAGAGAGAGAGAGAGAGAGAGAGAGAGAGAGAGAGAGAGAAAGAGCATCCTCTGCCCTCAGCCACACATGACCCTTCTGTCAATGTTAAGAGGGCAGAGCAGTGACGAACCAACATCAAAGACACGTGAGGGAGATGAGCAAATATGAGCATGAAAGGCTGGAGAAGGAGTGGATTAAAACACGACGCAGAGACATTAAGAGAAATAAATTCAAACGTGAGAGGAGATGGAAAGCCTTGGCACATAATAGAAGGGCTAATACACAGACGGGAGAGAAGTGTCAGCGGTGGAGTCTGTTACATCACTGCGATCTGTATGCTGCCCAGAGCCACACTCCTCAGCCAGTCAGCTGGGGAAGACATGAGCCGCTCCACCAATGACTGCTGCGCGTTGTGTTTGCTACGAATACAGATGAGCCAGTTCCAATGAAACGTTTTGCGGTGACATGTGCAGCAGTTTTTTTGTTCTGTACATCCTGGTTGATGTTTATGTAAGAATTGTATCCATGGACATAATGTTTTAATGGTTTTCTACTCCGTTTATCTTGGCGTGGGTTTGATTTGTCCATCTGTGTTATCTGCCTCTTTTGCCATAATCCACCTGCTCTGGCCTCGGGCTACAGCCATCTTGCGTGAGCCTGAATATCTCTGTTTTCATTAAACCTCTTTCTCAGACCAATCATTCGTGCCAATGTTCTTCAGAGCATTTCAGGCCACCGGAAAAGGTCACAGTGAAAGCGCTGAGCCTTTATTGCAAATTCCTGCACTGGTCTTTGGCCACGGCTATTGGCACGGGAATAAACACAAGACTGATGGCTGTGAACCTCAAAAGGCTGGGATAGTAGCATGGACATACATGGAGCTGTTGTTGGTTGAGTTCATTCAGAATGAGCCAGCGGACTATGTTGTGGGGGGCAAGTCAGGCTCTGTTAGTCTTATGTGAAACACACCGGCCAGTCTCTTATGAAACCGCATGGCCCCAGGTTTCAGTCGGATATGATAGAGTTGTTATGTCTGCTGTATTTGAAAAGGGTGTCATGCTCGGAGGAGAGATTTCCAGGGTCTTACATAAACCTGAGATCTAAAAATAAAAGTCAAAATGAGAACATCAGAGCTGGAGGTCAGCAATTTAATGAGAAAGCAAAGGGTGCGTGTGTGCAGCGGCCTCTTTGGCCCGAAATACACGAACGTTGCCCGGCTTCTCCACCTTTGGTGCAGTGTGTATGATCTGTGTGTTCACTTCATGTACCTAGATAACTCGCTGCGATACAGTTTATTTGATTTCGTTTTCTTTTCACCTACCTTTTACATAACATGACATGACATGTGCTTTTTTCCACATACACACACTTTGCTTACCATGTAGTATCCAGGCAACAGTTTCTGTAAGAATTCAGCCTCCTTGTGCATCACAGTCTTGATGATGAACTCGTCGTCCCTCGTGAGATAGAAGACCGAGCCACTCGCCCCGGGATTGGACAACTCGATCAGAGGCTCATTACACAGGGAGTACTACACACACACACACACACACACACACACACACACACACACACACACACACACACACACACACACACACACACACACACACACACACACACACACACACACACACACACACACACACACACACACACACACACACACACACACACACACACACACACACACACACACACACACACACACACACACACACACACACACACACACACACACACACACACACACACACACACACACACACACACACACACACACACACACACACACACACACACACACACACACACGAGAGAAACGCCGGTTAAATCTTTGAACATCGTATAAAATGACAGCACTTATACGGAAGACAGTTTAAACCAAATCATTTTAAAATTACTTTTCCATGTGGACAAGACTTTTGAATGACCTAACCCACATTTAGCGAGGGCCTGAATGATTTTTCCCTACTTTTTGCTAATAAGGAAGAGAGACAAAGGTTAACATTGATTGAAGGTGGTACTACACTTTTGTTGTAGTCTGTGACGTCATTGGGCCCATATGAACAATTTCCCCATTGACTTACACTGGCAGAGACATCTGTTAACCAGTGGATACTTTTCCCTTTTTTAGCTAAATCAACTCCCCAGTACGAACACTTTTATAGCCCTTATTTGAATCTTTAGGGTCTAAAAGTTGTAAAATGCTGTATCCAGTTCTCTTTATACATCATGGTCAGAACAGAGGCAATGAACAGTCTGACAAATATTTTCCCTCACTCTTATTTTCCCCTCACAGATGAAGCCAAATGCTCCCAGTGTGTCGACACGGGCTGCAGCACTAGCTGTTTTCAATGGACAACACAAGGTAGAGAACAGCAATGAAAAGAAGGGCTTTTTATTTTTGCAGAAACTCATAAAATGTAGGACAATATGCCTGTTGTTTCTGAACCTTTTCCTTCACATATGCAGTAATACAAATGTTGCTTTCAGCGCTGACAATGAGCTCCTTTTAAAAATACCTGTGATCAAACACAAATAGCAAATGAAGCTTTCAGCACTCGCATAACACTTTTAATGATGGACAGCAGCAGAAGGAAACAGACGTGTTACAGCCCCAAGCTTTCCTCAGCGTTTCGCAGATATTTGTGGGATTTATGGATCAAACACAAACTGCAAGTTGAAACAAATATGCACTAATAAATTAAAGATCAAAAAAATAATAATGTGTCACACACTAGCACACTTATCATGTGCAGAAGCACTTAGAGTTAAACATTATGGCAGAATTATGAAAATAACTGATGGTGGAAAGTGGATTCACAGTGCATGGTGAAGTAGAAAAGAGTTAGCTAATATATATTAGACACATTAAGATGTCAAATAATGACTGCTTTTTAGTTTTCGCTCTTTTAATACACACATCAAACTCCCGCTTAAATGACGGATAGCTCGGCTAATTATCTTGTTCTCTTCCCTCGGCTGCTTAAAAGCAAGTAATGACAGACATCAGTTTTCAAAAAAGCGAAGCCGCCTCTGCCTCTGTTTTGCTAATGGAAAACTTTCAGGAAAAAAAACCTCTCTGTGTCGCCTCACATTTAATTTCAATGTTTTTTCAATGCTGTGTTTGAATTTTTAACATCAAACACAGCTGAACAGGGATAGAGAAAAGGTGTGGAAGCGAGATGGCTGAATGGAAATGGGAAAATGCACTCACAGAGGCAGGTAAAAGGATGTAATCATAATTTCTTTTAAATTAGGATGGATAATTTAACAGACAGGAAAGTCTGTATGTCATTAAACAGTAATGATAAAGTAAGGTTGCAAAATGTAAGGGAAAAACATATTCACAATGTTATCTTGTGGTATCTTTTGGTATCTGGTGGTAGCCAATAAACATTGGCTACAGAAGGAGAAATAGATGATATAAATAATGCATTGTTAAACAACTGTTTGCTCCCTAAACACTAAATCATGACTACTTGTGCAAATATGATTTGAATCACTAAATCCCAAGAGTGGCCGTTAGTCAAATAATTGATTGGTCCATTGGCATTCGAAAACGATTTAATCATATGTGTCATTTTTAGCCACAATGCAAAAAGATCACTGGTTCCAGCCTCCCCAATGTGATTTAATGATTTATTTGGTTTATATGATGCTTAAAGGTGGGGTAGGTAAGTTTGAGAAACCGGCTCGAGATCGCTAGAATTTGAAAATACACAACCGGAGAAAATCTGCCACTTCCTTATAGAGCCCCTCCTCCAACACACACGAACGCGCACATGACCAATGAGGGCACGAGATAAGTTTGTGCACAGATGGAAGGCTGACAGGCAGGTAGGCCATCCAGTTATTTTAGCCGGGCCGGCTCAGATGATTGGTCGTGCTTTTTACAGTACTACGGCTTCCACAGATGACATTTTTTTATGGATTTTTTGTCAAAGCACTTCAGATATTCATTGCTATCGGGATGTTAAGAGCATTCCATGGAATATAACAAAAAGTGTATCTCGAGCCGGTTTCTCAAACTTACCTACCCTACCTTTAACTAAATATCTTTGGGTTTAAAACTGTTGGTTCAATAATACAATTCACAGTATTACATCACCTTGGGCTGTGGGATATTAAAATGCACATTTGTCATGATAAAGACAGATTTGCAGATTCATCGATAATTTACAAAAAACATTAAAAAAGACCTTGAGATGAGGCTGATTATAAAGATTATTTATACATTAGGTAAATGCATACATAGTTCCAGTATGTCTATTGTATGTGTATTGCTTTGGTGCCGTTTATGTGAGAGCTCTTACAGGGCAATAATTCAGTCTCGTTATTCTGCATGTTTAGCAGTCATTTCCTACACACACCCTGGTTACACCCAAAGCAGCGTCTATGCCAAACATATTCCACACAAGTGTATAAATGAGAACATAGTCCCCGAATGCTCCACCCAAACACCTCCTGAGGACTTCCATGGGAAACCCCTTTAAAAGGTACACTAATGTGTTGGTTAGAGGTGTATAAATAATACCTTAAAGTTAGCTACACGACGCGTGTAAAGTGAGATTGGGATGAAATTCTTAAATGATATGCCACAACAAGGGGTCTCTAAATCAGGTAGCGAGGTAAAACCCTGGATCTTAGTTTTTACCTGAGTTAACACGGCAGCGAAGCTCTAATTAAGGATTCTGTCCATCATTTATGCCAATTAGAACCCCCTCTCCCCCTAAGGTAAGGCATTACTAATGTTAGGACGGGCGGCTAAACACTTAATAAGCAAGTACGTCAACATGGACTAACAAGGATAAACAAAGAGATTCTGTTTTGTCATACCTACAGCAAAACGTCAGTGTAACCAGACTTAAACTCTTAGACAATGAGTCTGGTAGCAAGATGTAAATAACATGCAAATCCCCAGATGGCTCGAGCTGACTATGTTGATGAGTGACCACAGACTGACCGAGAGAGATGTCAGGCAGGATGTGGTGTTTCAACGTGGCTGACGAACCGATGCATTAAAGATATGTGCGATATGAGAGACCCAGAAACACTGACTGAGCAATGTATGTATATTGTGGTAGACTGCCGAAGGCCCAGCAGTGAATCATGCAGCCTCCAGGTCCTGCACACTGATGAGGGGAGACAAGCTGCAGACCTCCTCTCTCCCTCCTCCCCTCTGCTCTCTTTAAGCTGTTTCAAGGCGTCTTGCTCTCATTGTTCCCCTTTTAGCTCTCTAAGCCTTATCTGCAGTTCTCATCTTTATGAATACCGTCCTTATTAATTTGTATTTCATTGTCTTTTCCTTGGCTTGGCTGCCTTTCCTTTCTCCCTACATTCCTCTTTATTGCGCTCTCTTTCTCCCTGTTCAATTCTAATCCTCTGATTGGAGCTGATACAAAGCTCCAACTGATGTTAGCAGTTCAATTAACAACATAACAACCATCATTGTGCATTTATTTTTCATCTTGTACCATATATTTTAAAGAATGTCTAGCATCCAAGGGGTAAGAATCCTCTTTAATTCATTCAGCAACACAGTAAAAGTAAAATCTTACCAGGTAGTCATCCGGCCTGATGCCGAACAATTCTCTGAAGTAGCGAAAGGCCACAGGAGCGTAGGTTTTAAAGCGGAAGTCTGGGAAGTGGTGAGCTGGAGTGAGGTTGCTGCCTTCACTGAAATACAACATAAGACAAGAAGACATCAATTACATTCATGTTTTAAGTGAACATCAAGGAAGGTTAAGAACATAATGCAGCATACTTAATATTGTATAATACTTCGTATGTGCATTGGAAACATGCTGCATGTATTCCGTTTTTTAAGTGTTTGGCTGCTTTAGAAACCTGGGGAAAAAGATGCTCTCCACCACGTAGAAGTCCTGCATCAACACATCCCTCTCAGGCTTGGAGCTCAGGTTGCCCACTGTGTAACCGATGCCCAGCTGGATGGCTCCTTTCAAGGCTGAGGATGTGGTCTGTGGAGCGAGGGAGGCAGAGGTGAGTGAAATACTTACCCCTTCTTTAAGGCTGGTTTCGTTAAAGAAAACATGACACCAGTATCAACACCAGTAACCCTAAAGTGATACAGATACAAATAAAGTAGTTCATTCAATACTTTTTTCCACTTCATTGGTACCCATCATGTGAAGGGAAGCATTCGGTATCTCCCCATATAAATATTTAAACTGTTCATAAGAATTTAAAATATTTCCTGGCATCCTCAGCAGACTGAATGACCAACATGAAATACACAGACATTGATTTCACCAAAGCACAGACTGTATGGGTTATAGCTTTAATTAAATAACTCCTGAGGTGATTGTAGTAATTTATTTCTAGATCTGGTACATAAAGGATCAAATGACTGGAAAATACCACTTAAATTGGTTATTTCGGTCGATAGCTCCATTTGGAGTAGATCATTTTTAGACAGTAAAATGAGCTCTCTGCTTTACCTTCTTGTAAGTAGTTTCCCCTGATGCATCGACTCCTCTGTGGCCAATCTTCTTCCCCTGACCAGGCTGGCCTGAGGACGAGGGCATCTGGGGGGACAAAGACAGAGAGACTTGTGTTACACAGGTTGATTTGCATCTGGTTATTAACATTTATATTTCTGCAGAGTGACACAGAAGAGCTCATTAAAAAGAAAATCTCCAAATGATCTTATTAACTGATTTTCAGAGTAGACCAGGTGCTCAGTTTGAAGCAAAATGCTCACTTGGTTTCTCTGTTCTAAGGATCTTTACTTAGTGTATCCTTTCCTACTTCATCATTCTAACTCAAATGAGATGCGATAACATGTGTAAAGTATGAAGGTCTGATAGCACCGTTTGTAAGCTTATCTAAATTAAGAAAAAAGTTGCAATGGTAGAAGCTGTTCATTGAGCTTTTTGGTTTGAAACGAGCTGTGCCATACATCAAAAGGATGCTTTAAAGTACAGTGCAGTAGCTGAAGCGCTTGATGGATGGGATTTATTAAATTAGCAGGATTAATATAAAATGTGCTACATTGTCTAGCAAAGACCGAAAAAACTAAAGCAATATTTAAATACTCTCTTGCAATTCTTGTAGGCTGTTATAAATGTTGTGTCAGCCTTTGAGCACTAGTCGAGGGTAATTATTTACAGTTAATATTTATTGACACAAATATAACTTGCATCAGATCCTCAGATCAAACCTTCGAGGGCGAGTGGTTTCATACGTGTCTGGTTAAAACCAAAGCACTACTTGTTATTGATGTGGAGATTAAAAAGGAACTAAAAAGAGAAGCGTTATGATCACAGGGACAGATGGTCGCTCACCTCGGTGATGAAGGCTTTTCTAGCAGCAGCATCTGAGAGAGAGACAGGAAGAAGGAGAGAGACAGGGATGATTGTGTTAGTCGCTCGGAGACAGAAAGGCTCCATTACTCAACATCATTAGTGCTCTACTGTATATACCACAGGGTGGATGCAGCGGTGCAACATTATGTAATAACAGTGTCAAACACAAGTAGGGGCCTGTCAGCGAGAGGAAGCACAGCACACAGTAACGCCAGCTACAAGGGCAAGTCCTTTAGGAAGCCCTCTGTACCCTGTTTGTGAGAAAATATACTTCAGGGCAAAGCTAGCTGCACGGCACCCCTCATGTAAAGGGGTACAAATACAATGCCCTACTGGAACAGGACTAATGTAACAAGGGGAGAAGTCTGCATAACATCTGCTTATATCGTAAATATTATACTAAATTACTTTTAATGTTCAATATTATAAGCATATTTGTTTTTTTATGTTTGTATAATGTTCACAAAAGTGAAAACCTTAAAAAACAAAACACCCCTATGCTTTTGCGAATCGCACAGGACTAATATTATCGCTTGATAAAATATGGTAGATAATTACAAATTACTCAGATAAAACCAGTGCTGTTCGAATACGGTCTAATTTACATAATCATGCAAATATTTTGTTTGAAAAATGCTCAGACACCCTTTTACTTAAGTTTGTCCCAAGACTGTTAGTTTTACATTTGAACATCGAATAAATAGCTCTGTAAAAAGCGCTGAAATATGTTTCACAGAGAGAATAACAAATGCAAACATCACACATTTTAAATGGCAATCATTTCAGTAGTACAGCATCTGTTGTGTTGTGATCATTTTCAGTCTAATAACAGGATGTAGGCAAAAGAGAGAGGCAATAAAAGGACTGTTTTCCCCAGGAAGGCCTGAAATAGATGCATAATTATAGACATGTAACACTCAGCATAATAATTGAGGCATGGCTCAGGAAAGAGAAACCACTAAATGGGCAAATTCATAAAAAAAATACAGATATGTTTACAACAGTCTCAATTTAGCATATACATGAATGAGTGAGATTAAATAAGCCTTGGGGAGACATCTTCGAGAAGACGTGTTTTATTTCAGTTTTTCTTTCACTTATTATTAACAGATATATTGTTTATGATTGTAGTATTTTTGGATTAAAGGATTCACTTTAATATCTCACATGTTTATACATACATGTATAAAAAGAGCATCCCATGGTTTAATCTTTGAACAGGGAGGGAGGGAGGGAGGCGAGATGCACTTCTGTTTTGAACAGCCAGGTTACATTACGCTCCACAACTGACATATTTCCGTGCTTTTGCATCCAGTGTGAACCTGGCGAGCTGCAAACGATATCTGAATCGATGTCAGATCTCTGTAGCGGCTGTTCTGCCTGCCTGCCTCTCGTGGACGTCCATGTGACTGAGCACAGAATAGCCTGTTTGTCACCCCTCCTCCTGCTCTATGTCTCTATCTCTCTCCCTCTGTCACACATGCTCACATTTGCACCAAGATGAGCAAGCCACAGCATGCCAATACGAACCAGGCAACGTTCCCAAGCTCGAACAACCAGGGGATGAAAATTGAGGGGGAAAAAAACACGGCTGGTGAAGGAATGTTTGCAATGCAGATAATTAAAGAGGAGCCTCCTCTGCTTTTATCATCCCATCCTATTTACAGTATTCGTGTCTGCCGGTCCAAGTGTGTGGATGCATGTCATTTGCTTGGTGACTGGTTATGTGTGTTTTGCTTTGATCATTTCCAAATGTCTGTTCCCTATGTGTGCGAGTGTCATGTATCTCACTGCAACCGCAACACTTCTTTGCATGTAAAGACTGCTCACAGAGTGTGTGTTGCTAGCTGAGACTACAGGTTCAAAGGCATAGTGTGTGTGTGTGTGTGTGTGTGTGTGTGTGTGTGTGTGTGTGTGTGTGTGTGTGTGTGTGTGTGTGTGTGTGTGTGCAGGGAATGAGACAGGCTATGCATGTTCAAGCATGTGCTCCATCTCTCCCTGCTCGACACAGTTAGATGGCTGACTCTCTGTTCAGTTAATCTCATCTCTTATCTCAAGCTACAAAGCCACTTTCTTCCTATATACCAGCCTTAAACATCATGATAATGCTGTAGTTATAATTTCTCCTAACATTTCCAAAAACATTTAGCTGTCTTTGAAATAAAGAGCAGATAGCAGTACTTATTTTGAATGCGAAACCCATATACTATTGGTCTGGCAAACTGATTCCAGCATAACAGAGAAATATATATGTGCTAAGACTTCATCCTCCGGTCATTGTTTACCGTCTGATTGGCACCTTTCGATGCAAGAATGGAGTTGGAGTTAAAAGACAATGTCACTGGAAACACAGATAATTGTGTGTAGATCATAGGTGTAGATGCATTTTTTCTCAGTGTGCATTTCAGCCAATGTGTCCTGCTTCTTCTGACAGTTGTACTGAATTCAACCAAAGCTTGCTCAAACACTCTACTCAGACTGAAGCGAGCTTTCAATACCAAAATCGTTTCCTTTTGCCAACAGATTCATATTAAATTTGATATCTGTCTATAGAAATGATTCTTTATATTGATTTACTTTGTGGTTTCAAATACTAATTTCCTTTTGTCCTCAGCAGCATGAAGTAAAACACAAACACCATTACTATAAATTCGGTTATGGGAGGACAGCCAAAAATGTAATTATATTATGATAACAGGCAAGCAAATGTGACTACAAGTGACAAAGCCCTGCTGAAACATAAAGGTGATGATTATTTATAGTCTATTACAGCGTACAGTGGAGAAGCACAGGAGGAAGTTATGATTGGATACAACAATGGGGGTCTTCATACGTGTCTTTCCAATCATATTTCATGATTGCTTTCCTGCAAAATGAGTGAAAATCGTCTTGAGAAATGCTTCTACCCAGCAGCACAGGACTCTGACGTGATGACACGTTATAAGTGCTACCTTCCCTCCATTAGGCTTCAACAAGAACCCAGGTGATTTCATCCTTGACACTGTAAAGAGGCTTCAGAATGAGAGCATGAGGAAAAATAGGTCCTCCTCCACCGTCACGCTGCAGCATGCAGTCTGTACAGTTCTTCAGGGGATGGAACAACAAATAGACCCATAGAAATAAATAGCTTCTGGCTGGGACTGTTGCCTAGTTGGACCGCTATGTGCAGGTTTAAGGGCCCACTCTTACACTCTTAAGAGAGCGGTCCATTACCAGCTGGTGACAGCCATGGAAGGTGAAGCAAAATACAGTATTTTTATGATTTTCACACGCTCTTTGACCCCATTGTAGATTATGGCCGTCACCATGTCTTCAGTTTGGAGATACAACTTCCAACCAGGGAACCAAAACCGTTATATCAAATTTGATTCAATTTCAAAATCCACCACTCCTTTGAGAAAAACAGCTTATTTTAATTCACATAAATCAGAAGATGCTGGTCTATTGTGCTGTGATTGTTTAGTCTGTGTGTGTAATTGTGTGACTTAGTGAATGCCAACTAACTCTTAAAAATACTAAAATCACACAAAAACACAAAGAAACAAACAAACTGCGAAAAACCAGTAGACCTGTTTAAAATCAGTGCATCCCAAGGTTACTCAAAGCACACAGCTGATCAGATCACTGAATATAGAAGCACTAAGAACACATTCTTGTCCCAACTTGCTTTACGATGTAAAGATGGTATGGAAGAAAAAATAGAGAGATATCAATCTAACTGCTCTCCTTTCTTGATTTCGGGGTTTTGAACGATATAGAGTGGACTTTTCAGTAATCATGGCACATTTTCATTATAATCTAAAGTCCCTTTAGTGTGCCACTGATCTATTCTAATAACCTGCTTTACATTCTGTGTGCTGCACTTGGGCATTACAATATATATATAAAACGTTGTCTGGCCTTATGTTTATAATTCCCACACTCTTGCACTTTTCCTGTACTTGTTTCTATCATGCCCCAATTATAGTCACACTCAAATAACAGACAGATGCTGCCCTAAACATGTCCTTACCTGCTGCAGTTAAAGGAGGCTTTAGCACAGCTACATGCACATAGAGTATACAACATACACACTTTGAAACAGTCTAAAACAATTGACCCACTCATTGCTATCAACTACTTATTTTAAAGAACACATAAACAACAGATCTCTATGATGTCTTGGTGCATCTCAGCAACACAATGGATGCAAAACACATAATGACTTTGGTGTGTCAATGAATTGTTAACCTCACAGTGCAGGCAGCATTGATGTGACTCTGATCAATACTGGGAATCCCTGAGGATGAGCTAAGTAAGAGGCAGTCTTTAAAATGATTGTTTGTTATCTGGGTTGAGGCTAAGTGAGGTTCCCTCTATCGATTGGGTGTTAATTTTGAATGCCACAACAAAGCAGCGCTTGCTTATCGTGTCAAAGAGCGTCAGACCTGACCTACAGAAAGCAGAAACCCATAACATGTCAAAAAGAGCAGGAAGATTAACAAGGCAGCCTCCTTAATACAAAGTGGGGTAAAATACAGTCAGTGTATTACCTTGTGTTGTGAGCAATGCTGCGTGATTGCAATTGTATCTCTAACATTAATGTGAGTATGAGTCGAGTGTTAGAGGAGGGTCCTTTTTTCTCTTCTCTGCTGGAAGTTCAGATAGAAAGAGCCGCCCTGGAGGACCTCCTTTTTTTTAGAAAATATGAATTTATGGTTAACCTCAGCCTAGTTCACTTTGACACTGAAGAGTTATGCAACACTGATGGCGAGTGTTTAGACAGAGGGAAGGAAAACTGATCCTTAGTCAGTGTCATCAGGTCCTCTTCCACCCTGAGCCCTTGATCTCAGTAGCCAGCACACTGTGTGAGAACACCAATCAGCCAGTGTGTTCCTCATCCTCCCCCATCCAAAGTAACCAAAGTAACCAAACGCTCACATGATACCCCAACTTGTTGTCTATAACAAAACTAACTAACTTAAAATGTGATACTGTTCACCTTTTCACATAACACTCAACAAGGAAAACA